AATAGAATCTAACAATAAGAAAACAAAACACATTTTCTAACTCCTCTCCTGATGATTCTGATGGGCAGGTCTGCAGTAAGGCCCAGGCAACTTAAATTGTAAACAATACCTCTGGTTACCAGCCCTCCCACTATATTCCCCGATGGTATCTGGACCATACTTTTGAGAAACACAAATCTACATCTTCCTAACGTGTGACACAATCCCTACCCAGAAGTTAAACACATACCTAATTAGCAAATGCACACCCTGCTCCTCAAGACCTGAGCTTCTGGCAGGAGCTTGGGGTCTGCAGGACAACTGGGAGGCCGCATGCCACCAACCTGTGCATCCACGCAGGGTAATACGCACAGGGATGCAAGAGCTTGGTGACCCCAAACCAGGCTGCAAGAGAGGAAAGGTGCCTGCCTGCGTCTGCTCTTCCAGCAAAGCTGGCTCCCTGCCCTGCTGCTGCTTGCATAGCATTACTGAGATGGGAAGGTCTACACACAGAGAAGAGGATGGAAAAAGTGACACACTACAGAGGGCTTCCTCAAACCACTGATTAGCTGTAGCAGCTCCTGTGCCAGCAACACCAAAGTGCCAGAAGACTCACCAGGGCCAAATGTGCACTCAGCGATGAACTCAAAGAACCCCAAAACAGGACTCTAACCCAACCACCATGGCAGGACTTCCACCCTTGGGGGCAAAAAGGGACCAGGCGGATGTGGGACCAGAACAGGAAGCAAGGAAAGAGGCAGGCAGCCAGCTCCAGGGCAAGGCTAAACCAGTGCCAGCAGCCATGGCCCCCAAGCCTGGGCCCCGCCATGGGGCAGGTTAGGGAGAGCAGAGGGAGGCCGAGGGACACATGCAAGGCCACCCAACCCTGCCCAATGACCCTTTATTCCATCAGGAAAACACCGAAGGTTGAATCCCTGACCCCAAACTGCTCTCGGCTCAAATATTAGAGTCTGAACCATCCCAGATGAGCTTCACAGAACCTGCACTGACCTAAACACAAGCTCACACAAACCCCCTCACTCCAAAGTATGAAGTCCTGCAGAGACTTAATGACACTACAACTGCGGAAGCCCAGTAGAGATGTTGCCTCCTTTTATGAACCAACTGTACTCCTGAAAAGTCATCCACAGACCAAACAAATCCAGTTTCTCCACTGGCTTTCATTATAAAATGAGACATACAGTCCTCTAGGAAAAGCTGAGGCTCCAAGAGGAACTGAACATCACATTTAATGTTGCAAGCTTTCTAGAGTCACACATTTAATGGGCAAGTTTGCTGACAAAACCTAACTCAAATTCAACCCAAAGTGAGGCAATTTTGAACTACACCCAGAACAACAGTGTTCCCATGGACTAAAAATTATTGAGTCTCAAAATGCTGTGCAAGATCGAGGGCCCCTAATGTGTAGTACAGCAACAGGGAAGTTCTGCAACTCGTTTCTGTACAAAAAGGGGTGCCCAGACCAGGATTTCTGGAACTGTGGGGTACAGTCACCTGGGGAGCTTGTTAAAATGCAAATTGGGATTCTGATTTGTGCTCCCAGGGAATGCTGGTACCACTTTGTCTTTTGACTGTATTTTGAGGGGCCCCTACACAGTTCACGATTTTTAAGCTGTGCCCTTTCAGGCGGGTCAGCTTCATGTGTTGCAGTGGCTACCCATGCCCAGGACTCGGAGGAAGCCAGAAGCCCTGCCACATCAAAACTCAGAATAACTGCCACAGAGAACAGACAGCCCAGAAACAGAGAAGGAAGGCCTGGTCCCTTGATTGGGTCCCAGCTGAACAGGCATAAGGAGAAACACACAACCCCAGCCCAGAGAAGCTGGAAAGGGTTCAAAAGACCCCCAATGCCTAGGAGGCAAAGAGAATGTTTACCTTTGCCCTTGATTATTCCTCCCTATACCCAAAAGGTTCATTCACCTTTTTAATAAACCTAGGTAAGTAAAGCAAATAAGATACTGTAATGAATTCTACAAGGGGGAACCCTTCAGTAAGTTAAAACCCAACTGGGGCAAAAATATGTCAGTGCCCATGAATGTCAAGCGTCTAGAAGTTCTACAGGTGTCCACTTTCTGCAGGAGAGACAGAGCAGCTTTGGGGAGGATGAGGTGGGACTGGGCAAAGGAGAGATGGGGGAGACAGTACATACCAAGGATTGGCCAGGAAGGGCAGAAAGATCTGAGAAACCACGTATGTTTTAGGAGATGGTAAACAGACTACTTGGGCTGGAATGGAGGGCTCCAGTAGGTGGAAAATGTTTATTGTTGGGGATGACTGTAAAGCTGGAAAGGCATGTTGGAAGCACACCAGAAGAGAAGGAAGAACAAGAAAGAGGCCCTTTATATATTTCATTACGTGTAATCCTCTGCACAACTCCAGGAAGTAAGTCCCTTTACAGAAGAGGCAAACTGGGAGGTCAAGAAATTTGCCCAGGGCTGTATAGGGCTTGTCAAAGAGTTTGAACTGAGTTCTGCCAAATATTTCATCTCCACAGCCTGGGCCTTCGTCTCCACCACTCAACCCTGCTCTGAATGCCAGGAGTTTGACTAGATACTTAGGCAAGTAATGTGGAGATTACCCTTGCCCTCCCATGGTAGTTCTCAACATCTGAGAAACCCCATCACTGCTCAAAGCAATCCCGACGCCTGAATCACAGGCTGCAGAGCCTTGAGAAATCTTCGAGACAGCTCATCTCAGAATGTGACAATTCAATTTCCCCAAAGAAACAAGAGGCTAGAGGAAAGAAACCCAGAGAGGGGGATGGGAACTGGGGTGGGTGGTGACCACAGCGGACCATTCAAAAGGCTGGGGCTAAGAATCCCAGGTTTCAAACGTCAGGCGCTCTCCTCCTCCACCTTATTTATCACAACAGGGATCTCAAAGTTTGCAAAGTTACTCAGCCATTTACAGCATAATTACCCAAACTTCAAAATGGTCTAATCCACAAACCCAGCCAGTCTAGGTCCCTCACCCAGCCTTATTAACAGTGGGGTCTCACTACAACTCCAGTTAATTAGGCAGTTAAACAATGAAATGGAAAAAATCTACTGTAGTCTATTTAAAAATCGTTGCCCCCTGAAGTCATGCTGTCCGGGGTGGGTCGAGTCCCCAGATTTCACCATAAGACACCAGGTACCTTAGCCTGGCCTGAAATTGTTTACAGCACATGGACAGGTTCCACACCAAGGCACATTTGGTGCGACTGATTTAAGGCACTCATTAAAATGTTCCTTTGTTGAGCACGAGACATCTCCCCACCCCCAGGAGATTCCAGACCTCCAGTTCCAAACCCTCAGCCTGCCCTTTCTCCCAACAGGACCTCCCCGCTCCCCCTTGCTAAACATCCGTCACTGGATTAACATCGATTAACACACAGTCGTCTTCTCACGGAAGGAATTTAGGAAATTTGGTATTTGTTAAACGTACAAGAAAGAGCCTCATCTTCACCATAATCTCCCCTTGACTCCAGAACTCTAAACATCAGCACTGAAGGCGCCATAACCGGCAACCCACATGCAAACAGCCAAAATCCAAACAGCTGGCCAACCTAAGAAGCCTGTGAGCCCGGGCTCCTGGCCCATATGGCTGATCCCCTGATCCCGTCTGTGCAAAAAAACTTCCATACTTCCTCTGGGAGCAGATGCAGGCTCTACCATGAGCAATGACCACCCCACACATCACACGCAACACAGGGCAGCTCCAGAAACACCTCCTGTGAGTCCCTGGGTTACAATTACCTTTCCTATTACAATCAGGGGTGGGGAAAGATGTTGATTTCATCAGCACCAAAACCCCTCAACAATTGGCAGGCCAGGGAGATGTCAGAGAAATTCATTGCTACCTCCAGCCTACCCATACTACTCTTCAAAGAAGGAAAGTAGTGAGCTAGGACCAGATCCACTGGGCAGTTTCCCCCCCAGAGAGGGCTGCTGTTAGGATCATTATCAAAGATTCGGTGTTTTGGGGGAAGGGAGGCGACCATATTTCTAGTCCAGGCTGATGGGGTGTGCAGGTAGCTTGGCACTTACGGTAAAGCACTTCAACACCTCAGTGGTGACTCTCAAGTGTTACTGCGCCAGGAAATAAAAGGGGGGTCGGGATGGGGGATCGGGCCCTGTCCGCCCTGAGGATACGGACCACACCCTCATCAAAATGCTGAAGCCCTCCTAGAAGACGCAGAATGAACTCTTGTCGCCTTTCTGCCCGTAGAACGAGGGATTTTCTTTCCTCAGTGAAGAGAGATAAGATGGAAATTCAGGAAGGAGCAGAACGAACCCCGTCCGTACCTTTGCAGGACGGCCATGCCCGATTTTGGCAGCGGCCTTCACACATTAGTCACCGCGACAGCCTGGGACTCTGCGCTCCCCAGATTCGACCCGGCAGGGGCAGGGATCGAGGGCTCAGGGCTTGGGCCCAGGAGCTAGAGGAGATGGGGCGGCCCCTAATTCTTCCCTTCTTCCGCCCTCACCAGCAGGGCCATCAGGGGTCCCAGCTTGGCCCAGGAACTTGGAGGGAAGCCGGGAGCGTCTGGCCGGCGTAGGTAACAAAGCTCCGCGCTCTGCGAGCCGCAGGTCGGGGCCGGCCTCCCTCACCTAGACTGAGCCTACCGGGCAGATTCCGTCTCCCCCACCGCCAGCAACCTCAATGCACCCCCGTTAGTGGGGATTAGTCATTTCTCTTCCGTAGAGAAACTCCCCACCAGGGCCAGAGAGGCGGCAACTCCCGGCAGTTGCCGAGCAAACTCCCCGCTCAGGCCGGGCAAACTGTGGAGGATGGAAATGCGTCTTCGAGGGCGCGGGTGGGAGAGGGGACGCAACCGAGAGCGCGGGGGCTCGGCCACTTCCCGGCCGCCGGGACCTCGCACCCCCAGGGAGCCTCTCCACCACTCCAGGGTGTTTTCCCCGCTCCAGCCGCCCAAGCCCACATTCTCGGGTGCTCCCTTTTGCCCGCGGGGCTCCCGCACTTCCCGAGCCCCGCTCCTCCCGCTCGCTGGGACTCACCACCCAGCAGCTGCAGCAGCAGGACGCTGATCAGAGGCAGCCGGCGGACGCTGCTCGGGGCTCCCCGCGCCGCTTGCATCGCGGCGGTCCGGGGAAGGCAGCTGGTGGGCGCGCGGCGGGCGTGCGAACTGCGCTCCGCGGCGGGCCCAGGGGCCGAGCGCACCGGAGGCGGGCGCCCCTGCAGCAGCCGCAGCCGGAGCGCGAGCCCGAGTCGCCCCGAGCCGTCCGGAGCCGGAGCCGCGCGCCGTTGGTACCTCCGAGTCCTCGCGCGCCGCCGCCGCCGCCGCCGCCGCCGCCGCCACCAAGCCCCGCCCCGCGACGCCCCCTCCCCGCCGGCCGCTGAGCGGCGCCCCGCCCCTTCGACGCCCCCTCCCAGCAGTGGAGGGGAGGAGCTCAAGTTGGGGAGGGGTCTGGAGAGGGGCCGGGCTGAGGGAGGTAGGACCTGCGGAGAATGGGGGGGACCTGAGCGAGGTAGTGGAGCGTAGATGTATCTACAGCCTATTCTGCAGGGACTTAGGGGAACCAAAGTGACTTTTATGATTGTGTGGCTCCTGGGGAAGATGGTCAGTTCTGGGCCTTCCTAGGGGCTCTGACCAAACAGTTCCTCCAATTCTCTGGGTAAGAAGGGAAAAAGTGGATTTTGGCTCACTTCTCAGCAACCTGAAATCCTGAGGGAGACCCAGGACAGAGGGGTTTCCTTGGTGTCCCCTATCAAGACTGTGGAGCCCCAGGAGAGACAGCCTGGACAAGTGAGGGGCCTGAGCATGGCTGGAGTCTGGTTTGGCTCTGGACCAATCTGAACCCAAAGGTAGAAATAGACCGGGCTCTGAACGCCCGATTGAAGGCTGTTAAACTGACAAATTCATCTCAAGTCCATCTCCAGGCAGTCTGGGCTGTGTCAGGGCATGGCCAAGTCTCCAGCTGTGGGGAGGCCCAGCACAGCCCTTGTTCCAGGCACCCCCCCACCCCCAGAGCCACCCCCCCACACACATTCTTTCTTTGTTGTGAAAGCAGCAAGGGGTGTAGGAGGCGGGTCAAGAGGAGTCAAGCTTTAGAAGATGGGCCCCAGCTGCTGCTCAGGACTTCAGGATATGCTTAGAGGGGATGGAGAGTGAGTGCCTGTCCCCCTCTAGTTCCAGAGCTCTCCCCCTAACCCAAGGCCTGCTTAGACCTCCCTTCCCCCAAGCAGCTGGGAGGAGGAGGGGCAGCCACAGAGGGCCTCACAGGCCAGGAGCAGTGGCGCCAGGACTCCAGGGTCCTGCCACATGGCCACCACATGTCCCTGACAACCCAGTCCACAGCACCTTCTTCTTGGGTTGTGGGCCTCCTTCCCCATCCCCCAGATGCCTTCCTGCAGGCCCTGCTGGAGAGGATACAAACAGGGGAAGGAAGAGAGGAGAGATCCAAGAATCAACACTTCTCCTGCTGCCCCATCCATCATTGCCCCTTGCCCTGCTGTGAAGGGCCCCAACAAAACCCTTGCTTCCTACCCGCTTCAATCGGGACGCAAGTGGCAGCATGGTTACCTGATTCTTTTATTTAAGAAAAGTGAAATACATGGACCTGAAGTGAGGCAGCAGAGGGAACAGGAGAGGCCAGGGCAAAGCAACTTGGCTGGCCAACCCCAAACCCTCTGACAGAAAGCCAGCAGCAGGCTGCATCTCTGAGGTACATACCTGCTCCTTACCCATCTTGAGGGCCTCCGAGCTAGCTACTCTAGAGGACTACAGGGTGGAGAGAGGATGTCCTGAGGGTCCTTTCTGAGGGGGATTCCTGAGGACAGAGCTGAGACCCCGAGGGCAGCAGCAATCTCTGGTTAACAGCTCCCCCTTCACTATCCCACCATGGGGTTGGAAGAGCCAGGAGCAAGAGGGAATGCTGTGAGGGCTATGGGGGGACCCAGCAGACCTGGGGGTTAGGGGTTGAGGGTTGAATGTCAACTGCTTGAAGAGAGGTCCATAGTGCTGGCACTGAGGCCACGGGAGACCTGAAAGAGACAACACCACACCATCAGCCCAAGGACTCGGCCTCCCAAAGACTGTTGCCTGCAGTCTATCCACTTCATGGCTGTAACCTCCCTCTAGACCTAGGATGGAGCCTGTAGCCTCAACCTCAAGCACTGGGGCATTGTTTAGCCTGTGCCAGGATGTTCCAGAAGACCATAATCTGATGAAGAAAATACCTTGAAGAGCCACATGAATATTGGCATGTACTTTGAATGTGTTGATACAAGTGGTCATTTCCAATTAAAATGTCATTACTGTTTTCTCAAGTGGAGATGCTTTAATACATTTTTTCTTTTCCTTTCTCATCTACTACTGAGTCCCCAAAGTGAGGAGTATGGTGGCTGCAGGAGGAAGAGCAATTAGTATCCCCAAATCATTCTTGAATTATTCACAATTCCAAAGTACCCAGTTTAGAAAACATCAATTTCTGTTCCCTTTCTGATTAATATATTTGCTATCTGACCTGAAACTGTCCCTTAGTGATCACCACCCACAGTAAGCTGTCTGCCTGATTCCTGCTGTCAACTCTACTACCCTGACTAGAACCCTCATCCCAAATTACTCTCCCCTCTTCCCTAACTCCCACTGGATTGCTCCATGCCTAGTCTGTCTTTCTCACCCACCAATATGCTCACCTTGAGAGGTGCTGCACTGGGCTGGTTCAGGTAGTTTAAGGAGGCTGCCCGCTTCATGCTGCTGCTACAATGGACAAAGAAAGAATTGAGGTCTCTTCTCTTCCCCATGAGTGATCCTAAACTGTGGGCCTCTTGGGCACTGCCATATGAAATCAAATCATTGCTTCCCCACCATTCAACCTCCAGCACACACACATAAACACACTCTCTCATCTTCATTAGTAATGAGTACCACCTCAGGTTATCTTTTTCCCCTTACTGGGGCATCCAGTTTTCCCAAAGTCTCTCTCCACTGCCATCCCATTGACATCTCCATGTTTCTCTCCAAGACACTTCTCCTCTAGTGATAAGGGGCCAAGAGGAGCTGGAGGTGAAGACTTACTTGCCTGCTTCGCCATACCTCAGTCTCCCTGGTTACCTGGAGGGCCGAGGCTCAGTTCCCTGGAGCTTCCTCACCAGGAGTTCACTGCTTCTACGGAGCACATCCCGGATCTTGCCCAGAGAGCCACTTCTCTGCAAGGCCCCACTGCCATCCTGGTGGACAGTGATGGGGAACAGGAGCTAAGGGAACCCTACACAGACTGGCTTCTGAGTCTACTTTTGCCATTTATCCTACACATACCCCCTCCCCTAAAGCTCAGTGACTGAAAACAAGAGCCCTGCCAGTTGCTGGGATACCCCCGAGAGGGATGGTTAACTGAACCAGAATGGGGATAGCACGCCCTCACACCCCACATGCTCAGGCTCAGATCTTCTCACCACCACCGGGCAGGAGAGATCAAGGAGCAATAAGCAGACTTACCCCTGACCACTCCACAGCCACAGAGGCATCTTCACCTCCTTCAAATTTAACGCTGCCCCCAGGGCCTTCCTGGGACGTCCGTCCACTGTCACCCTCCCCAAGCAGCTCGGCCACCTTGGTCTGGCTGATAGGATCAGTGCCCTGGAAAGAAAAGGAAGGAGTTGGGACTTGGGACTTCTTAACTCCTCAGAATGGGACTTTCAAATGTTTTTTGCCATCAGCCACAGCAGGGAAAACATTTTCCTTTGTGATGTCCCAGTACACACACTCACATACTGAAACAATACTCACCTCCTCTTTGTGCAAGGCATTCCTGCATGTAGACGCTTATATACTTTTAAGAATGGCCCGCACTGAATTGAGTTCATGACCCACTGATGAGTCAAGACCCACAATTTAAGAAACTATGACTTAGGGCTCCCCTCAGCCTCAGCCCCCTCACCACACCCCTCATTCCCCTCTTCAACAGATTCTTCAAAGTGTGGAAGGGCAGGGCTTCCCTTTCAACAGTTCCAGTTAGTGAAGTGAAGCTTGAACTCAGACTCCTGACCACAAAGGGCAGGTGGGGTATAAGAACATGCTTAAAAATAATCACAACCACAAAAACGTCTTGCCTTCCTCCCTCCATCTTCCTCCTCAGCTCTCCTCTCATTCTTCAGAAATCCACAGGAAGCCTCAGTGGTCCACTGCCGCCCCCCAGCCCCCCGCCTGGCCCCAGGGCCCTGACGTCCAGACCCCCTTCCCCTCTGACCTGTTTCTGAGAACGCAGGGCACATTCCTCCAAGGTCTCAGCTGCCTCCAGCTTTCCCTGGCGCCTGTACAGAGCGCCTAGGTTTCTCAGAGTGGTGTTCACTGTAGGGCTGTGGGGGGTGAGACCAGGGAAGGAAATGAGGATGGGATCAGAAAAGAAACAGGAGGGAGCAGAGCTAAGGCCAAGGGAAGGTCAGAGGGAAGAAGGGAAAAGGTCCAGGCAGCCAGGATGGGAGCTTGGATGGAAGACATCAGAAGCCAAGCCAGCTCACCTGCTCACTTTGCAGGCCTTGTACCAGCCTCCATACTCTGTATAAGGGGTGCTGCCCTCACGGTGCCGCCTCTGCAAGAGGACAGAGGGGAGATGCGAGTACAGAAATGCTGGGATGTCAGCTGGTGGGGAGCTAGGGTGCAGGCTGGGTTGGGGAGGGCACCATGCATCTGGGGCCAGTGCTCCAGTGGGAAGTGAGGAGCTGGACCAGTGCGAGGAATAAGATGGAGGCCTCAGAGCCTTGGTAGCTTCGGGCTTCCCAGGCTGGGACCCCCCAACTCACTTTGCTCATTTCCTCCCGCTCCTCTGCATGCATCCAGATGGGCTTGTGGTCGTCTGGGGGTGATACATAGGATGGGGTGGCAAGGTTAGAGAACAGAGCTGGACAGTATGAGGGAGCCAGGACTCAGAGGCCCACAGGGCTGGCCTAAAAGGATCTGGCTCCCCCTCGGAACCACTGTGGCCTAACCCCCCACCTTTGGTCCATATTTCTTTTCCCCTCTGCAGCAACCTCTCCAGGCCTTCACCACTCACCATCCACAGACCCAAACTCCTGCACGTGGGCTCGGGTCAGAATCTCTTTGTAGAGTGTCTCAGCCTCGGCATATTTGCCCTGTTTCAGGTAACAAGAAGCCTGGGGGCAGGAAGTCAAAAACATGGCAGTAAGAAATGGAGACAAGGCCTCAACCAGGCTCAAGAGTTTCCACTTCTTGGTCTCTTTATGACTGTCCCAAGAAATCTTCCTCACACCTCCTTTCTAGCTTCAGGGTCAAGGGTGTTCCCTCTCCTAAGAGGCTATGGGACTCTGCCTTCTGACTGGATCAGGCAGACCCCTCAGCCCCAAAGATGGGCACAAATGCAGTGTGGTTAGTATACCAGACTATGATGCCTTCCCTTCCCCTCCTCCCACTGTCTGTGTCCCTGCATCCCTTCCTCCCTTACCAGGTTGTTCTTGGTTCGGGCAACATTAGGGTTGTCCGGTCCCAACTGCCCCTCATAGATGGCCAGTGCCCGCCGGTAATAGCGTTCCACGGCCTCATACTTGCCCTGGTTTTGGCACAACAGGGCCAGATTGTTCAGCTGTTTGGCCACATCTGGGTGGTCAGTGCCTAGGACCTGAACAGGAGCAAAGGGCGACAAAGGTCTAGGATGGCATGTACACGCCTGCACACATGCCCGTGCAGGGAGCAGGGGGAACGGAACGACCAGAGAGGGTATAAGGCAGAGCGAGGGGGATGAGAAAAAAAGAGGTGACAGAAGACAGATGGCCAAGGAGGGGTCAGCAGCAGGGGAGAATGGGGAAAGGGAATAGGTACCTTCTCTCGAATCTCCAGTGCCCGCTGGCACAGCGGCTCTGCCTCCTTGTATCTGCCCCTTTTACCATAGAGCACAGCCAGATTGTTGAGTGTGGCAGCCACCTAGAAAGACAGGCCTATTCCCTCAGACACTGGCTTTCAGGGGCCTTGAGAATCGGAGGTCCCCCCAGTGTATAACAGAAGCCAGGGCTGCACAGATGGAAAGCAATGGCCTCTGCCACCCTGCCAGAGGTGGGGCAAGGGACCTGCTCAACTGGACAGCTCTGAGGTTCTCTGTGGCCGTGGTATTGCCCTCTAGGGGGATTGTTAGGCGTTTCTGGAGGTGGGGTTTTTGGTTGCCATAAAGATGGGGGCACTATTACCTTTGGGAGGTTAGGATGCTACAGATGTTCTGCATATGTGGGGCAGCTCTGCCAACTTCTGAATGTCCTGACAGACCTTCAAACACTGAATCTAAGTCCTGACACTGGGTGGAATATCAAGATAGGAGGCACGTTTTCTGAGACATCATCCCTACTACATGTGATGACACAGGGAATTATTTCTTGACAGCTCATTTTCAAAAATATCTTATTTCTCATTTTCTTCACTTTGACAATCTGTCACTAGCCTTGGCATGCTAATCCTACTTAAGGTTATTTGTCCCTTTCTCTTATTGCATACAAACAAATACAGTCTGTCATTACTTATTCTAACATTGGATTTTAATCTTGTCCCCACTGACAATTCCACTCTGTCATTTTTTAGTACCTCTTATATAGAACGACTTACTGGTCTTACCTCTTTAAATCTGAAATTATTCATTATATATCAGGTAATTACGTCTTCTAGCATAGTTGTACTCAATACAACTGGTATTGTATTTTAATTTTATTGTAATGTACATACTATTTTATAATAAATTATTTATTTCTCTTTTGTATTGATAGGATATTATTTGACTTTTTTGGAAATTACACTTGTAGATAGGTTACATTATATGAACTAAATTTCAGGAAAACACTCATTATAAGAGTCAGTGGGTCTCAGAGAGTCAAGAACTGTTGGGATCAGCACACAGTCCTGGAGGAAAGGTGTCCTCATGTTTCCTTACTACGCTCCTCTAGAGAGTGTGCTGAGGGCAGCAGAGGGACAAACTAAGAGGGGCCAAAAGTGCATGGGGGAAGGAGGGCAAGGAATACTGACAGCAGGGTGGTCCCGGCCCAGGGTGCTCTCCCGGATGCTGAGGGCATCATTCAGCAGGTGGGCAGCTTCCTTATACTTATTCTGATCCCTGGAAGAGGACAAAAGTGACCAGAGGTTACCCTGAACTCTGCCCCCAAGCCATCTCCTTCCTTTGGGGTGACTGAGGTATATTTAGGGGTTGGGGACCCGAAGAGGAGACAGGAAGCCTGGAGGTGAGCAGTGGGGGAGCTCACCAACACACTGTACTTAGATGCAGGGCACTGACATGCCAAGAGGGGACCACAAGTTATAGGATGCAAGAGACAGAAAGAAACCTTCCCCAGAGGAGAAACTGAAGAAGCCAAGAGCCTGAGAAATGAGTAGTGTCTGAGGTCAAGGGCTCTCACACAGAAAGGATGAGCACTCTGGTACAGGAGAAAGGCCCCTGTATACCCCTCCGGGGTGTACCTGGAGGCCCAGCAGGGAAGGGAGGCACCTTCAGAGAGGAGGAATGGGAGCCAAAGGTGGATCGAGATGGGAATCTGGAGGCACATATGTTGTGAGGGGGACAGCAGCACTCACCGGTACACCAAAGCAAGGATATTCAGCATGGTCGCGACATCAGGGTGGCCGCGGCCAGATGTGCGCTCCAGGTCCTCCAGCGCCTGCTTGCAGAGTGGCACAGCCACCTCATAGCGACCCTGGGCTGCATACTGGATCACCAAGTTATGCAGTGTCCGCAACCTCGCTGGGATCTCGTATCCACTGTGCTGGGCCCCCTGGCCACGGGACACTAAGCCATCCCAGGAAGTGAACAGGAGACTTCCTCAGGGACTGATCCTCTCCCCTGTGTGGGCTGCCCTCCCCACCCTGCTCCATGTCCTGTCCTGAGCCCACTCACAGGCTCTCTCCTGAGACCTGCTGCAATGCTGTTATTTTGCCCACGCCCTTGCACCTGTGCCCATCACCATCCCATTTGTTCGCCCAGTAATTCATTCATTCAACAAACATTTACTCAATAAGCATGAGCAAGGGGCTGTGCCAGGGCTACAAAGCTAAGAAAGGCCTGGTTCCTTCCCCTGAGGAGCTGACGCTCTTCCACTCCAGCATCATTCTCCCACTCAACTGGGAACTCCTTTCTAGAGAGACCTGTGCCATCCTCATCTCAGCATTCCCAGTACCTAGCACAGTGCCTGGCACATACAAAGTGTTTAATAAATGTTGATGAATAATGGGGAGGCTGAGGAAAGCCAAGTATTAGCCCAGTCCCTGCCCCATCTCTAGAAGAAGTGGAGAACCTATTTCTGAATGGTGAGCATCCTGTGTCCAGGGTGGGCCACAGCTGGGACCAGCCTCTTGCTGCCCCTCTTCACCCTCCAGCTCAAGAGGCAGACTCACAGCCATTGCTGGGGTCTTCTTCCTCCTCGTTGGGGAAGAGGTCATCCAGGGACTCCTTGGGGACATCACCCTCTTTCTCTTCCTGGAAAAGAAGCAGCAGCAGGTCTGGGCCAAGATATTCCCAGCAGCCTCTTCAGGGCCCCTCTAAACCATGAGATCATTGACAGATGGGGCCCAGGAGAAGACCCTTGCTCACATCCCTGCCCCCAAGAAAGCCAGCATCTGCCTCACCAAGCTCAGGCCTCTCTTATTTGTAAATTTCACCTTTTTTTCCTTGCGTTTTCTTCCTAAGCACCCTCACTATCCAGCCTCCTCCTCTCCCCCTCAATTCTTGTCATTATAGCCCTGTGCTGAACCCTGTCTGTTCACATTGATTATATGTCTGTCCTGTACCTTCTGAGGGCAGAGTGGGTCTGACCTTATTGACATGTACCCAAGCGTCTAGCTCAGCCTTGTGAGCATCACCTGCCGCCGCTTACCCTGGCCTTAGTGCCCAACCCTCCCTGTCTAACCCGCTTCCACGCTGGCCAAACGTGCTTTGCCTCACCGGGCACTGCAGTCTTGTACAAACATCTCCAACCCTCCTTTCCAGCTTCACAGTGTGTCCCCATATAAATCACCCCACTTTCTCTGTGGCTGACCAGCTTTCCCACTCTGAAGTCTTATCTAGGACACACACACTCCCACCCCCACAGTCTAGAAAGCTCCTCCTCATCCATCAAAATCCATCTTAACTTCTAACCTGTTCAAATAAAAAATCCAACCTAAATCTTACCTATCTCGGAACCTCACCTTCTCTATCAATTGTTCTCAGACCACTCCAGCCCAGGAACCTATCTCCACAGACTACCTCCCATACTGACTAAACCACGTCTGCAGCCCTCAGTACTTGATGCTTTGAGTTGTCACATACGTATTCCTATTGAGAGGCCTTGTCCTTATAGCTACATTATAAGAGCAAGAAGGCAGGAACCCTTTTATTTTGTTCTTTACATCTCCCAAACATACATCTTCCTGCACTGACTGTGTAAGGCACAGACATATATAAATGACTGTTGGAGTGAGGATTAAATTTCACACCACTTTGAGAGCAAATTTTAGGAGGGTCTTTCTCAACTGGGCCATGCTTTCCCTAATTATAGCACTTAGGTTTCTGGATTGGAATTGTCCAGGTGCTTGTCTGTCTCCCCCCACAACCTTTAATTGTGAGGCAGGAACGCTGTGTGCCTCATTCACTGCTGCATCCCCAGCAGAGGGCACAGTGCCTGGCATATATAGTAGTCATGTAATTAGACGTTGATTGAATGAGTGAATACTGTTTCCCCCTTGCTGTGATCTGGAGTTGCGTCAGGACCCAAATTCTGCCAGACGGGGGGCAGGTTTTGCAGTGCTGCCAACCCCTGCAGATGATGAAGCAACTGCCCCCATGTTTGTGCTGACTCCTGGCTGCCCGCCCTCCACCCATCCAGCCTTGGTGGCACGCGCACTTACCACAGCATGCCCATCCTCGTCATACTGCCGCAGCTGCCCCAGGAACTCCAGGTGCTTCTTTTCCTCCTCCAGCTGAGCCACGGCCTGTTCACTGTGCTGGAGCCGCTGCTGGGTGCCTGCTAGCTCATCCCTGAGCCATTGGTTTTCCTGGCAGAGCCGCCGTACCTGAGCCCGCAGCTTCTGCTTCTCTGACTCCACTGTGCTCAGGTGGCTGGCCAAAGCAAGCATCACCTAAACAAGCACATCCCGTGAGCACCAGACTCTGGATAGGAATGTTCAGGGCAGGTAGGAGGGGAGCCCACTGGGAGGTACAAGACAAGCAGGAACCACGAGGTAAGGTTGGGTGGCAGTGGCTCTACCCTCAAAATACACCCTGAATCCAATTTCTCACGACCTCTATAGCCACCACTCTGGGCCAAGCCACCATCAATTCCCTGCGGATTTGGATTACTGTAATAGCCTCCTCACTGGCCTCCCTGTTTCTGCCCTTGTTCCCTTAGAGTCTGTTCTCAACCCAGCAACCAGCCAATCCTTTTTAAATGTTAAGTTAGACTACATCACTCCTCTGCTCAAAATACTCCAATAGCTTCCATCTCACTTAAAATAAAATCAAAGTCCTTATGATTGGCCTCCAAGTTCCACATGATCTGCCCCCTCTTTGCCAAGCCCACTACTTCTCGAACTTCATTTTCTATTTTGTTTTATTTTGTTTCCCCTCATTCACTCTATTGAGCCACACTGGCCTCTCACTGAACCCATCAGCAAGGGTCCAGTTTGGGGCCTTTGCACTTACTGTCCGCTCTGCTTAGGATACTTTTCCCCCATTTATTGTATGACTCAATCCCTCATCTTCAAATCTTTGCTCAACTGTCACCTTTCAATGAGGCTTTTTTTTGACCACCCTAAGTTGCATCCTCTCTCCATACTCCCTAATCCCCTTCCTGAGGTTTTATTTTTATCCTTAGCAATTATCATTCTAGCATACTGAATCATTTACTTGTGTATTGTTTGCCTCCCCCAGCTAGAATGCAAGCTCTGAGATAGCAAAGATTTTTAACTGTTGTGTTCGGTGATGTTTCTCCAGTGCCCAGAAGAGGACTGCCTTGCAAACTGTAGGATTTTAAAACATATATATTGAATGAATGAATGCAAACATCTAGGACAAGGGGATCCCAAGTGACCCCCAAACCTCCAGACAACTGCTCCTCCATGGGCCACTTAGCACCACCTCCTCCCTCTCACCTGGGCCTCACTCAGTCCCAGCTCGATGTTTTCCATGGACCGGCGCAGCTGCCGGGCTTTCTCGTGCACTAGCCCTTCTTCATGGCCTCCCCGTTGCAGACACTCAATGGTATGGGACAGACTTTGCAACACAGCCTGATGTTCACTGTGTAGGGCCTCCAGCCCTTGGCTCACCAGCCGAGTGCTTCCCAGGATCTCCTCCTGGCTGAGCCGGTGCCCTGCAGGCTCATCCTGCTGCCCCAACACCAGGCCCGACATCCTGGCCAGGGAAACCTTGCCTGGACTAGGGAGAAACAAGAGTTCAGCTGCGATAAATATAAGAAAGAGAGGCTGAGTACCTTGGTTAGAGTGTGGTGGGGATCCAAGTGAATGAGAGAGAGTAGGGGTGACCTCTGGTTTAATTAGAAACAGAGAGGGACCAGTGGGGAGGGAACCTACAACATTACACAGAAAGCTAAGGTTGTGGGAAAGAGAGAGGGAAAGGAATTGACTTGAGGGAAGAAAGACTACAGAAGGAACAAAGGTGCTGAGAACTACCAGAGGGATTTAGAACTTGAGAACAGAAAAGGCATTGGAGGGGAGAGCTTAAGGAAAAGGCTCAGGAGATGAGAGCACTGTAGGGACACACGGCGGGTGACGGGTGTTCAGGGAGAGTTGCAAAGATAGTAGGGTTAAAGCACACAGGATTCAAAAAGAGGGAAGGAATAGGTCTCAAAGCTAAATCAGGGAAGAGAGGGAAAAGTAGAAAACCTCAAGGTTTTCAGGCTATGTCACCCACAGAGTTAAGCCCAGCATCTCCACAACTAGTTAGCCCTGCCTCTTTCCCCACCAGCCTTCAACCCATATTTCCCACTCTCCAGGTGTCCAGCTGTCTTCCTACTTCCTCAAAAGAGCCTTGTTTCTCATCTCTGAAGTCCTCTTACCAGTATACAAAGTAGAGCCCTTGGCTGTGGTGCTCAGACCAGAGTCCCGAAGTAACTCTGTTCAGCAGCCAGGGACTCACAGGGGTCTGCCCTGCCCAAAGTCCAGAAGTCCAGTGTCCCCACCCCTTCTCTCACCACTTCACAGCCTCCCAGAGGACCTGGCACAGAGCCCCACCCAGGACAAACACCCTCCCTCTCCCTGCCTTTTTCAAGGTTTTCAAAGACAGCCAACGTCCTTCGTCCTTCCCCAAGCCAACCTCCCAACCCAGGCCTGGGGAGTTATTTTCTCCCAAGGGAGCGAGATGGGATCTGAAACCTGCGGCAAGGGGCGGGTCTTGGGAAAGGGTGAAGAGAAGACCTGGGCCCTCCTAGCCCAGTTACTGCCATAGCTTTGTCTCTGTCATGATCACCCACTAACAGGTTCTGAGAGAAATCACCTTAGGGTGCCTCCCAGACGGCTAATGATGCAGGGAAGAATGGAAGATTTGCTGAGCGGATGCAGGGAAATACGCGCTGGGAGCTGATCTCCCGTGCCTGGGAATGCGGTTGAGAAGTGTCCCAGGCTGCCGACCTGCCCTGGGGCCTAGTGTGTGGGCAGAGTGATATGGGTTGGGCGGGGGCGACAGGGGCTGGTGCAGCTGGAGAGCCGCTGTCCGCGTCGCAGGTGAGGACGCAGGGGCCGGACAATCCCGAAGTCACTGAGTCAGTCGGCAGCGCGGGGGGCGGGGCGGGGCAGGCCTTCAGACTGTCTGGACGCCGAGGGGCGGGAAGAATAGCGGGCTGTCGGGGGGGAGCGGGGAGGCGGAGTTTTTTATCTGGAGCTGTGTGAGATGAGTCGGAGCGGGTTTGTTCATCTGTCCTGGAGTGCTAGAAAGAGGTAGCGGAACCTCAACCCTCAGCCCCAGTGACACCCTCAATGACTCACCCGCAGTCTGCCAGTCTGGCTGCCTCCTTGCTTGTACTGCCCCTTTAAATCCATCATGGCTGCCGCTCGAGGCAATTGTTTTGACGGCTCCGAGGGGCGGGGCCTGTTTCTCAGTCACGCGACCTGAGAGCCCGCGGAGGATTGGCTCTGACCGCCCGCAGAGGGAAGGAGGTGTGAATATCTAGCTTGTTCTCAGGTTCTCTGCGCTCCTTTTTGCGTCATGAGGGAGCGACGGCACCGGGACCTGTTAGCGTCACCCAGGAGAGCCAGGCGGCCTGGCTAAAAGTTTGGTGGCGTGTTGAACCCAGCGGAGCCTGGCCATCCTCATGGCCCTGCGGGCACTAACCCGCGCTTTGGGCTCCCTGAACCTGAAGCCTCCGGCCGCCACCTGTCCCGGCCCGAGCCTGCTCTCGGCCGCCCAGGTAATCCACCTTGCCCGCGGATGAGGCTGTTAACGATCGGGCCGCGGGAGATGGGGGCACCCAAGGATAAGCCGGGGATGTGAGTCTGGTGAGGAGTCACGCCGATCCGTGACCTTAGTTACGTCACTGTCAGTCTCAGCTTTCCCTTCTGTGTTAAGTGTTGCTGTCATACTGCGCCGCCGAATTTCTCAGACGAGATACTGGAGGTGAAAGTGCTTTACAGATCACCGTTTGTATAGGATTCAATAGTAACTGGCATGTATTGGGCTCCTATCGTAAGTTAAGTATAAGTAGTAGCCGCTTTAAGTAAATGAATCCCCTTAACCACTCTATAAGGTAGTTATCATTCCCACTTTACATATGAGGAAACCGATAAGTGGTCCAAGGTCATATACAAACTACTGGAGACAGGCAGTCTGGCTTCAAAGCCTGGCTCTTAACCATTAATGATGAGTTGTAGCTGAACTGAGAGAATGCAGGGCAAGATAACAAGAATGGGAGCCTAAGGTGAAGGTATCCACAGCTTCCTAGTGAGCAATACGTGAGTCACAGAAAAGAGAAGTTGTAAACCTTGTTCCCCTGGACCTTTCAGACTGATGCCAAGAGTTTGACAGATGCATACTTAAAATTCAGAGGTCCATGAAATGCTGGAAGTACAGCAGGGAATAAGACAAATGATCCTTCCCCTCCATTCATATCTGAAAAACCCCCAGAAACAGAGTGCAGACAGGCAAAAGGCATTGGTGCTGATGGTGGTACATGAATGTGTGGAAGTTACCCGCTCTGGAAAAGGGAGTTGTCTAGGGAAAGAAAAGTTTCCTGGAGGAGAGTTTTGAGTCATATTTGGAAGGAGATGCATCAAGGGATGCTTCAGAGAGGTTCAAAGAGGAGAGGGAATCAACACACATACACCTGGATAAACATTCTGCACTTGTATTTGTGCAAACTGTGAAGGGTGCAGTTTTTGAACAGCTGGTCTGGGACACTTTCAGTAAGAGATTGGCTACTTGGGCTGTATCCTCACCCTTGGTTCCCTGATGCTTCTCCTTAAATTAGCTTTCAAGTGAAAGAGATTTCTCTTTTTCTTTAGGCAACAAAAAATTGTCTCTTCCAGTTGCCCTCTACCTCAGTGTTGCTCCCCTGCCGCTCGGTCTTTACTTCTGTGGCCCTTAGTGCCAAGTTTGTGTCGTGGAAGAGTCGTACCAAGTACACCATTATGCCAGTGAAGATGAGGAAATCTGGGGGCCGAAACCACACAGGTGGGAGCAAGGGCAAGAGGATTTGAGCAATAAAGGGGAAAAACATAGGACACTAGGCCTATACATTGAGACAGGCAGAGGAACATAATTAAAAAGCATTTGTTAGACTTCACCTGCATGTAGTATGTGTGTAAGAGTGAGAAAATAGAATACAAAACAGCAGATGAGCTTAATCTTAAATTAATGCTAGGTATTTGAAGGAAGCTGGACATAGAAAATTCCATGACATTTTTCTTCACACCCTTCAAAAATTTACAACAGTTCAAATTGAGCACTATTACTTAAATGGCTTTCAGTTAACTTACTGAATTAAGTATTTGTAGAGATTTTATCTGGAAGTTTTATATAATTTCAGTATCATATAATTAGGTCTTTCCCAAGCCTTGTGTTTCCCCAACCGCCATTTACCCATTGTGCTGTGCAAATTTTTATCATTTTCTGCTTGTGTCATAATGTTGGGAAACACTGCTTTCTGCCCAAGATGGGCCTGTTTCCAGTGCTGGGGAGCTGATCCATCTGACCTGGGTCATGTCCCCACACTGTCCTATCCACAGGCCAAATCCAAGTGCATGGTATTGGTGGGGGCCACAGACAACGTTATCGCATGATTGACTTTCTACGGTTCCGGCCAGAGCAGGAAGCCAAGCCAGGACCGTTTGAGGAAAAGGTGGTCATCGTCCGCTATGATCCCTGTAGGCAAGTTTGGGATACGGAGTAATGATGGTTCAGCTAAATAACCACTCTGTGGCTTTTCAAATGTGGGGCTGCCTAGATGGTCTACTCACCTGTCCCTCACTCTGAGCAGGTCAGCAAACATAGCTCTGGTTGCTGGAGGCAGCCGGAAACGCTGGATCATTGCCACAGAAAACATGCAGGCTGGAGATATAATCTTGAGCTCTGACCACATAGACCGAATGGCAGGTGAGAGATGGCTGCCAGATGTGTGTGTGGGCTGGGAGGCTGCAAGGTTTCTGGTGCTGATGAAATTCTGTCTTTTAGTTGCTGCTCGGGAAGGGGATGCACATCCTCTTGGGGCCTTGCCTGTGGGGACCCTTATCAACAACGTAGAGAGTGAACCAGGCCGGGGAGCCCAGTATATCCGTGCTGCAGGTATGAGGAAATGAGCTTCTTGGGGTCTTATAATTTGGAAGGCCCAGGGGTACCTGAAGTCACAGTTCTATGAACCCATAAGCCTATATCTGATCCACTGGCAGAGAAAAAGTAGGAAAATGGGGATGAACAGGTGCCTGTGTTTTGACCTAAAACATTGCATGTATCCAGCTTCAGTGTATCTGCTCCTAAACAGCAAAGCAAGGGCAGCATATGAGGTATGGTAAATCTGCTTCCAGCCTCCTTTGTGGAGGGTGGCAATGCTGCTTCTCTCCTCCCCAGGGACATGTGGTGTGCTGCTCCGAAAAGTGAATGGGACAGCCATCATCCAGCTGCCCTCCAAGAGGCAGATGCAGGTATGTGTGTGGGTACAAGTAGGAGGGATCAGCAAAGGAGGAATTTTTAGAATGTACCTTTCCTGTCTGGATAGCTCCCAGGTTTTTCATGTTAGGAACTGCCTAGAGCTGGGTATGGCCTCCGCTGTCGTGTGACTAAGCACGCCTTGTCAGGCTGGCACTGTCATGGAACATGGAACAGTGCCTTTCTTTTGGGGCTCCTTCCTATAGAACCTGCACTCACTTTCAGTTATGTTATGCGTTTTTCCTTGTCCTCTCCCATCCCTCACCTAGCTTAGGCAGCCTCCCAAGAGCCCATGCCCTTTATAGTGCCCTGCCCCTTCCCAAGACGCATTCTCCACCCTCTGCTTTCTCTGTCAGGTGCTGGAAACGTGCATAGCAACAGTAGGCCGAGTGTCCAATGTTGATCATAACAAACGGGTCATTGGCAAGGCCGGGCGGAACCGCTGGCTGGGCAAGAGGCCTAACAGCGGCCTTTGGCACCGCAAGGGGGGCTGGGCTGGCCGGAAGATTCGGCCACTGCCCCCAATGAAGAGTTATGTGAAGCTGCCCTCAGCTGCTACTCAAAGCTGATATTCTGGACTCTAATAAAATAGACCCCCTTTTTATCTGTTACTGTTTTTTTGGAAGGGAGTACGGTACATACTGGACCAGGGAAAAAGACCGGACACACAACTGCCGGGGAGGAGAAAGGACGGGACAATATAGGGCAAAGATGGGCTGCTCCTCCCACATCTCCAGTTGCCCCCTGGTCTCAGTTTCTTTACGTGTAATAGCGAAGGGGGTTATAAATGACCTCCAAGGCCTTTCCAGTTCTGACTTCAGGGAATGCACTTCCGGTAGCAGGAGGAAGGACGGAAAGGAAGAGGAAAGGGCGGTACGGAGGAGGTGCTGCGCGTCGCCGAGGTGGCACCGGTGACTCCGCCCCGGCGCTCTCCCAGGGCCCCTACCTTTCCGCTAAACCCGGCGGAAACGAGCTGCGGCTCCGGGCGGGCGGCGGAGCCCCGAGAGGTGGGCGGGAGCGCCGCAGGCTGGTACCAGACCGCGCCCCGTCCCGCCCCAGCGCCGCGGATCTGCGGGCGGGCGGTTACAGTGACCCAGCCCCACGGCCCTTAGTCCCCGCGCGCCACGCCCCCTGCCCGCCCGCCTGTCCGGAGGCACGCCCCCTCCCGCCTCTCCAGGTCGACCCCCCTCGGGGGCCCAGGCGGGGCCCAAATCTCTGCCGGCATCGTCGCCATCGTCTGTGCTGCGTCCCTAGCTCTGAGAAGGACAGGCCTCGCACCAGGACCCCCATCGACTTCTGAGGTGGCCAGAGCCCCACCGCGGCCCCTACCCCTGCTCCTGCCCTGGGTTTTCCTCCATCCACTCGCCCACCGAGCGTTGCCCTCACCCGACCTCGCGTTCCCCCACCCTCCGCTGCCCCGGGATTCTCGTTGATGCAGCCAAGCCCCCTCCGCCGCACCTCACCGCGCGCCCCCAGCCTCTCGGTCTTCCGCCCAGGTCCACCAAGCCTGGTGCTCCTCATCCACCGGGTCTCCTGTGCACGCTGTCCTGGACCTCGCGTCACCCCCTTCCCCCCTCCCAGCCTTAGTGCCCCAGAACCCCCGGTCCATCAGCCCCTCCTCCCAGCCCATCGCGCCTTGCTCCCTCACTCCATCACCAACTCCATGGGTTCTTGCCTTTGCAACTCAGGCTCTTGCCCTTAAACCATACACTCCCTAACGCCTGCACACACGTACCCCTCTGGGCTTCATAAATCTCAGGGCTGCTGCTGCCTACCCCAGGGTCTTGGGATTCCGCTGTAACTCCAAGGCTGCCCTGCCCCCACTGTCCCCTGCCACTGCTCCAAACCAACTCACTCTAGGCTGCGGGGCCTTGGACCCTCCTTTTAGCCCCAGAATTTTGTGTTCTCTCAGAACAAACACCCCAGTGTTCCTTTGCTTAGGCCTGGCCCCTCCCAGACTGCAGCAGGCAACTTCTGGGCCCCACTTTACCCTAGCCAGCCCAACAGCTGTTGCCACATTTGCTTCCCCAACTCCTGGATGTTCCTGATAGTCTGACCCCCACCTCTCACTCTAGCTTGCCTGTTCTCTTTTCCTTGTGTGTTCCAGGTGCCAGGATGGTGGGGGAACTCCGCTACAGGGAATTCAGAGTGCCCCTGGGGCCTGGCTTGCATGCCTACCCAGATGAGCTCATTCGCCAGCGGGTGGGCCAGGATGGGCGTCCTGAGTACCAGATTCGCTGGCTCATCCTCAGGCGTGGGGATGATGGAGAAGGGGGCTCTAGCCAAGTGGACTGCAAGGCTGAGCACATCCTGTTGTGGATGTCCAACGATGAGATCTATGCCAATTGCCACAAGATGCTGGGCGAGGATGGCCAGGTCATCGGGCCCTCCCAGGAGATTGCAGGGGAGGCTGGGGCCCTAGACAAATCTGTGCTGGGGGAGATGGAAACTGACGTGAAGTCTCTGATCCAGAGGGCCCTTCGGCAGCTGGAGGAGTGTGTGGGCACCATCCCTCCTGCTCCTCTGCTTCACACTGTCCATGTACTCAGCGCCTATGCCAGCATCGAGCCCCTCACTGGGGTGTTCAAAGACCCAAGGGTCCTGGACTTGCTCATGCACATGTTAAGTAGTCCTGATTATCAGATTCGCTGGAGTGCAGGCCGGATGATACAAGCCCTGGCCTCCCATGATGCCGGTGAGGAGCAGGGTGGGGAGGATGGGAAGCAGGAGCAGGGCTGGGCCAGTTCAGGGCCTCACCAGGTACTGTGGCAGGAGCCTCTGACCTCGTCAGGACATAAGTGATGCTGTTACCCTTCTTTTTAATTGGAGTAAAAGGAGACAGGAAGGTGGGTGTGGGCATCTCTGCAGAAAGAGGAAAGACTGAGTCCACAACAAGTGCATAGTGCATATCAGGTAGCTTTTTATGCAAAGGAGTTTTGAGTTGACTCTTAGACTACTGCAAAATGTATAAAAAGAGAAAAAAATAGTAAGTTTTGGCTGTTGAAGCAAATCAGCAAAACATGTTATTCCTAGTGTGTATGGCTTGGACTGAGACTAGGGGTCAAGGAGAGATGCCTGGGAAGGGTGAGGTTAGGGAACAGTAACTGAATGGGTTGTGGGTTATAGGGACCCGGACCCAGATCCTTCTGTCACTGAGTCAGCAAGAGGCCATTGAGAAACACCTGGATTTTGACAGTCGCTGTGCTCTGCTGGCTCTGTTTGCACAAGCCACACTCTCTGAACACCCCATGTCTTTTGAGGGCATTCAGCTGCCACAGGTATTCTGTTGGGGGATGGGGGAGTAGTGAACAAGATAAGGACCAGGTCTTTGTACCTGTCCATAGAGGATGGTGTGGAGAGAGGGGCTAAAGCTGGGACCAGGTGGACATAGGCCAAAGGTTGTGTCCTCCAGGTTCCAGGAAGGCTGCTCTTCTCTCTGGTGAAGCACTATTTGCATGTTACCTCCCTCCTGGATCAGCTGAATGACAGTGCTGCAGAAGCAGGAGCCCAGAACAACTCTGCTCCTGAGGAACTGAGTGGGGAGAGGGGTCGGCTGGAGCTGGAGTTCAGCATGGCCATGGGCACCCTGATCTCAGAGCTGGTGCAGGCCATGCGCTGGGACTGGGCCTCAAGCAGACTGGGGCCCTTGGCACGCTCCTCCTGTTCCATCTTCCAGCCTCAGCTGGCAGATGTGGGCCCAAAGCTGCTACCCGCCCATGCCCAGCCCTCCCTTAGGAGGTCAAGGCGGTTCCGCCCTCGCTCCGAATTTGCAAGTGGCAATACCTATGCCTTGTATGTGCGGGATACGCTGCAGCCTGGGATGCGAGTGCGGATGCTGGATGATTACGAGGAGATCAGTGCCAGGGATGAGGGCGAGTTCCGGCAGAGTAACAATGGAGTGCCCCCTGTGCAGGTGAGCAAGCACATGGTGGTGGGACACTGTTGGGGATCTTTCTTGAGTGGGGCTTGGCTGAGGTTTCCATGTAGCAAGCTTTGGCAACCCACACAAGGAGAAAACCCTCAGTAAGATGGGATGGTGAAAAGGAGTCTGCAGTTGGGAGGGGAGCCAGTTGGAGGCCTGAGGAAATCTGGGTTCAAAAGGCTATGAGGTCAGGAAGGCCCATTCCCAGAAAGAAACAAATACTGCAAGACTTTCCGTAAGGTTACAGTAGGGGGACGGTAGTTGAGGCCAGGAGGAAGTGTAGGGACATAAGCCTTCAAAGATAGGGTGGTAGAAGAGGTAGAACCCGGCCCAAGTAGGAGGAGGTGTCCTTTGTGTATGTGTTCATGTTTTTCATATGCCAGTGTTTTGCTCTTTGGAGGGTTTTCTAAACCTGGCCGGGTAGTCACCCTGAGGGCTGCATGTCATCGTCATTCAGCCACAGTCAGTCACTATGTGAGCCCCTCTGCCCTGTCCCTCTCTTTTGTTCCTGTACCCTCCAGGTGTTATGGGAGTCGACAGGCCGCACCTACTGGGTGCACTGGCACATGCTGGAGATTCTGGGCTTTGAGGAAGACATTGAAGACATGGTCGAGGCTGATGAGTACCAGGGGGCAGTGGCCCATGGAGCCCTGGGTGTAGGTGAGCCCAGAGAGGTAGCAGGAGTCAGCACTAGCATAGGAGCAGGGATCTGGCTCAGCAGGCAGTGACATCCCTATGCCCTACGACCCATTTCCACAGCCCTGCCCTCTTGGCGGTGGAAGCCCATGACAGAACTCTATGCTATGCCCTACGTGCCGCCTGAAGATGAAGACACAGAGGAGAGTGAACACCTGACCCAGGCTGAGTGGTGGGAGCTCCTCTTCTTCATCAAGAAGCTGGATGGACCTGACCACCAGGAGGTTCTCCAGATCCTCCAGGAGAACCTGGATGGAGAGGTAGAGCTGGTCTATAGAGACAGAAGTGGGTGGGCTCCACTGCAGGGCTGGACTGTGGAAGAGCATTTGGAAAGCTAAGGATAAGAAATAGAGGTCAATAGTGTAAGGGGCTGCAGGGGAGGGATCTAGAATGTTCAGAGGTGTTGGTGAGCTATTTGACCAGCCAATGAGAAGTTCAGGATGGAGAGTGCCTATACAGAGATGCCCACTCCTAGCAAGTGCCCCTGGAGCCTTTGTGTCAGCAGGTAAGGCTGCCTGCAGTGAGAGCTTCTCCCCGATGACAGATTCTGGATGATGAGATCCTGGCTGAGCTGGCCGTGCCCATGGAGTTGGCCCAGGACCTACTACTGGCTCTGCCACAGCGACTTGATGACAGTGCTCTCAGGGACCTGCTCAACTGCCGTGTCTACAGGAAATATGGGCCTGAGGCCCTGGCAGGACAGCCGGCTTACCCATTCCTACTGGAAGCCCAGGCCCAGCCTCAGGAATCAGCAGATGCAGCCAGAGTGGAAGGTGGGGTGTTAAACAGACACAGCAGCTCTGCAGACCTGTGTCTAGGGGCACATTAGCCCAGGAGAGATGTCTGTGCCAATTTCTAAACAGTCCTGTCTGAAGAGAAGGCACTTTAGGAAGAGTCTGGAACTTAGAGATAAGCAATGAGTGGAGAAGTAGACACTGTACTCCCTCTAGAGAATGAAGGAAGATGTACAGTTAGAAAATCGCAAGAGATTTGAAGCCTTAAAAAGCCCCCACGTTTAGTTTTTTCTTCTATAGAGCTTTTCTACTGCATGCTTTACATGTAGGGAAATGCTCTGCTGTTTATAGACAGGAAGTTCCTTTGCTGTTTTAAGTATGTAAAATATAAAATTTGTCATGAAGTTATATTAAAAGATGTTATAAGATCTTAAAACCTTACTTTTAGAGGGATAAAAAAAGAATCAAAAACATTTGTAGGAGAAATTAGGAAACAAGATGGAGACTCATGAATCTTTCCGATCCTTCATGTCACTAACAGTGGCCAACTCTTGTGACATGCCCCTTCCTTTAGCAAAAGAACACCTGTCTCAGTTCCCTGACACTCCCCTGCGGTGTCTGGTGGAGGGTTATGGTCCAGCTGGGAAAATCTTCCTGGATTTGGAGCAGGCCCTCAGCTCAGAGGGGACCCAGGAGAGTGAGGCCAAGCCCTTACTGCTGCAGCTACGGCAGCAGCCCCAGCTCTTCCTGGCACTGATGCGGAGCCTCAACACTCCGGCAGCCAACAGGGCCCTGCACCTGGCTGTTCTGAGGTGAGGGGGTGGTGAGAGGTGGAGGTGGGCAGAAGGGTCTCTGAGGCTGGCTGCACATCTCTCTCCTCCTGCCCCCTGCCCCCCAGAATCCTGATGTGGCTCGTAGGCTTCCCCGAGGCTCTGCTGCTCCCCTGGCACGAGGCCATGGACGCCTGCATGGCCTGCCTGCGGTCACCAGACACAGACCGGGAGGTACCCCTGCCCTGCTCTGGGAGATGCTGAAGGGAGAGGATGCAAGGCAGCCTCCAATTAGGCTGACCCCTGGGGCGAGGCTCTAGAGGGCACAGTGGAGCCCTTGGGCTCTTGGTTTGGGTTTTGTTTTTAAAATTGAATTTTATTTCTTTAAATAGGTATTACATTCACACAGTTCACAAATCAAAACGATGTAACAGGTATACACTGAGAATTCTTACTCCCACCTGAATCCCTGTTCTCCCAATACTCCCTGCCCTAACCCCTTATTAGTAACCACTTGTATTAATTTATGTGTCCTTCCTGTGTTTCTTTATGTAAATATAAACAAACCCAAACGGATGATCTTATTTGCCAGCTCCTTTCTTACATAGTAGGTTCTGTCCATATTACGTTAAAAGCCTCAATAGCTCGTGTTTGACTAGGCCTATGGGGAAGAGTGGCTGAAGGAGGCTGAGGGGACCATCACATTCCAGAGTCCCCTGCCACAGAGAGGTCCTGGGTGAGGAGGCTTGGGAATAGGTCAGAGAATGAGGGATGGTAGCAGGGATGTCTGCAGTACACACCTTTGGCTGTTACCCAGATTTTCATTTCTGAGGTGGATTCACTAAGGGTCCACACTCACATCTGGCTCCTCTTGGACTGCTTCCTGCTGTCAGATGTCTGTTCCTGGGACCTTAGCATCTCAAAATGCACCCCACAGCTAGTTCTTGGGTCAGCTGGGCCTGCAAAGAAACAAGCTGGGATGCTCTTTGTACCTATTGCCAACATAAGCAGTAGTCAAGAACCCCAGGATGGCAGGGCATCTCTTAGCTTTTTCATTTCAGTTTGTCTTTGCTTCTCTAACTCTACCCGGCCCTCGTGTCTCCTCCATCTGTGTCTCCTTACTTCCTCACTCTGTCTTGTTCACTGCAGTAGTCCCAGCACCCAGCACACAGTAGGTGTACAGTAAATACTACTGAAGATGCCCTTGTGGCCCATGCCTTGTCCCTTTATTCCCCTCCCCCATCCCCACCCCAGGTGCTCCAGGAACTGATCTTCTTCCTGCACCGCCTGGCCTCCGTGAGTAGAGACTATGCCGTGGTGCTGAATCAGCTGGGGGCCCGCGATGCCATCTCCAAGGCCCTGGAAAAGCACCTGGGAAAGCTGGAGCTGGCTCAGGAGCTGCGGGACATGGTGTTCAAATGTGAGAAGCATGCCCACCTCTACCGGAAACTCACCACCAACATCCTGGGAGGCTGCATCCAGGTCAGGAGGAAAGGCAGGGGCAAGCGTGTGGGCTCACAGCTGGGTAAGAAAATGAAACCCAAGCAGTGGCAGGGGAAGGGGGTGTGTCCCTGAAGCTGGGAAAGGCAGCTTAGTATAAGGGACCTGGGGACAATTGTTTCCACCACTCCTCCCTGTCTGGTCCTACTCTGCCTGGGTCATAGAAGAAATCCCATTGCTACTGGGTTTTCACCATATGTGTTTCCATGTTCCTCCCTCCTTCCCACACCCCTTCTCTCTGACGCTCCGGCTGCAGATGGTGCTGGGCCAGATTGAAGACCACAGGCGAACCCACCAGCCCATCAACATCCCTTTCTTTGACGTGTTCCTCAGACACCTCTGCCAGGGTTTGTGCCCCCTCTGCTTTCTCCTGGCCCCCAGCATTTGTTCTCCCCTTTCCTTCCAACCCCCTAGTCCCTTCGCTTTTTCTCTCCCAACTAACCAGGCTGTGACTGCCACCCCTTCCCACTTGCCCCCAGGCTCCAGTGTGGAAGTGAAGGAGGACAAGTGCTGGGAGAAGGTGGAGGTATCCTCTAACCCGCAGCGGGCCAGCAAGCTGACCGACCGCAACCCCAAGACCTACTGGGAGTCCAACGGCAGCACCGGCTCCCACTACATCACCTTGCACATGCACCAGGGCGTCCTCATCAGGTAACACGTTCCATGCATATGCTTAGCCACATGCCAAGCTTTCTCATGACTTCCCTGTGTCTTGGGGGGAGCACCACCCCAACAGTGACCAAAGAGTCCCCTTGGCTCTGTCTGCAAGGACATGCCTGGTTCTGGTTCCAGTTTGTTCCTCTTCCCCGCTCCCAGGCAGCTAACTCTGCTGGTGGCTGGTGAAGACTCGAGCTACATGCCGGCCAGGGTTGTGGTGTTTGGAGGCGACAGCACCAGCTCTCTTAACACAGAACTCAACTCGGTAGGGACCTCTGTGCTGTTAGACCACCCCTCATAGGATCCACCCTCCTGCCCAGACTCCTACTAAACTCCTAAATTCCTCCCTGTCTTGAGCCCCAAAGAAAGTGAAGTCCTTTATCCCTGTGCCTATGTGACAGCCCTGAGCAGTGAGGATGGCATTAGGATTCCTTTGTCAGGACCCCACACATGCCAGGACTGGGGGAAGGCAGAGACACAAGGAGGGAGCAGGAGTGGATGTGGGTGCTCTCTGCACTTCCATCCACACACATGGAGCTGACAACCCTCTCTGCCTCCCACCAGGTGAATGTGATGCCCTCCGCCAGCCGGGTGGTCCTCCTGGAGAACCTGAACCGCTTCTGGCCCATCATCCAGATCCGCATAAAGCGCTGCCAGCAGGTCGGGCTGGTGAGGGGGTTAGGCCCCTGGACTCTGAGTTCTGTAACAGATCATGGGCCATGTCTAGCCTGAGTGGTGGGCAGCTCCAAGAGGGAGACATGAGAGTGTGGCTAACCACGGCATGTTCTGAGGAGGATGTGGGGCAGGTGAACACAGGCCTGTGTGCATTGCAGGGTGGCATCGATACACGCATCCGGGGGTTAGAGGTCCTGGGCCCTAAGCCCACATTCTGGCCAGTGTTCCGGGAGCAGCTGTGTCGTCACACTCGTCTCTTCTACATGATTCGGGCACAGGCCTGGAGCCAGGACATAGCAGAGGACCGCAGGAGCCTCCTGCACCTGAGTTCTAGGTGTGTGTGTATGGATGGGGAGAGTGTCACCATGGCCACAGGGTGGGGCTCTGCAGAGGGCAGACAGGGATGCTTAACATGCTTACGGCACCTGGAGGGTTCTGCACTTTGGGGAGGGCAAGAAAGAGTAGAGAGAAAAGATTCTCTGGCGGGCTGGGAAGGGGATGTGCCAGCTAACACTGGGAAGTTGTGAAGTACCGAGGGGGTGTGGTCTGGTTGCTGGGAGTTAGCCAGCACTCCTAGAGAGTGATGCTGATTGTACCTCAAGCCCCTGGCACCTTCCTCCCCCATCCTCATCCCCAGACTCAATGGGGCTCTTCGCCAGGAGCAGAATTTTGCTGATTGCTTCCTTCCTGACAATGAAGCCGCCCAGGCACTGGGCAAGACCTGCTGGGAGGCCCTGGTCAGCCCCCTGGTGCAGAACATCACCTCCCCTGGTAACCGTCCTGAGCCCTGGCTCTCTTACCCTCCCATTGCTTGGCCCCACTAACCAGCCCCTCCCAGCACTGCCCGAGAGCCCCAGGGTTGGGCTCTGGGCCCTTTTGGTACCTGTGTTCATTTGGCACCAGTGCCCCTCCTCTCACAGCTCAGGGGCCACCTCTTCTCCCATGTCCCCAGGTGCCAGCTGACAACCACAGGGACAAGAGGGCCTTGCTCGCTCCCCCACTCCCTGTAGCATTCTGTCCAGTTGCTCTTTTCCATGCTCCTGGAGGCCCACCCCACCCTGCTGCCCTGGAGGCATGCCCTGCCTTGGCTTGTTTTTCCCAACCTCTAGATGAGGATGGCATCAGCCCCCTGGGCTGGCTGCTGGACCAGTACCTGGAGTGCTGGGAGGCTGCCCACAACCCGCAGAGCCGTGCGGCAGCTTTCTCCTCGCGTGTGCGCCGCCTCACCCACCTGCTGGTGCACGTTGAGCCCTGCGAGGCCCCCCCTCCTGTGGTGGCCACTCCTCGGCCAAGTGAGTCCTGGGGATTCAGGTGGGAGCTCAGTGGGGAGCAGTTCCCTGTGCCCCACCCCCACCCAGGAGCATTGTTTTGGGTGGCAGCATGTCAGGAAAGGCCCCCAGGCTCACCCTTGAAAGGGGACCCAGGAACTGAGGGGCTTTCCCCACCTTGCCTCTGCCCCTTCCTGTCTCCACAGAGGGCAGAAACAGAAGCCATGACTGGGGCTCCCTGGCTACCCGGGGGCTTCCCAGCAGCATCATGAGAAACCTGACCCGCTGCTGGCGGGCCGTGGTGGAGGAGCAGGTGGGCAGGAGCAGGTGCTGTGGAGGGAGGGTGGACCTATAATGGCACAGCCAGCAGGCTTGCCTCTTCACACTGCTGCCCCTCCCTCCAGGTGAGCAGTTTTCTGACCTCACACTGGTGGGATGATGATTTTGTGCCACGCTACTGTGAACACTTTAGTAATCTGCAGAAGTCGAGCTCTGAGCTGTTCGGGCCGCGGGCGGCCTTCTTGCTGGCGCTGCAGGATGGCTGTGCTGGTGCCTTGCTGAGGCTCCCTTTCTCCAAAGCTGCCCACGTAAGCCTCCCACTCTCCCTCACCCCTGCTTCTCTCCCCACAAACCCCCCACCCCGCTTCCCGAAATGGCCCACCCTTTCAATCCCACTCAACACGGAACATGTACTAGCATGTAACCATATTGCCGACAATTCAAGAAAAGGGAAAAAACTAGTGACCTGCAGTGTGGTGTCCTAATATATCTTGATGTACTTTCTTCTCTTTGTGTGCATGATTTAACAGCTTATTCACAAGGAGCTACAATGCTTTATCTTGTTTTGTTTCCATCATTACATAGAAAGCCTTTCTTGGCCTTGCTGTTTGTCCTCACTCTTAATTTCTGCATCATCCATCTAACAGATACACTATAATTTACTCTGCCATTCCCATAGTTCCATAAATATTTAATAAGCTCTTAAAACGTGTCAGTCAGTGTGGTAAGACCTGAAGAGAGACAAAGTCCCTCCCTCAAAATTTACAGTCTTCTCGAGAAGACACACAGTTAAGCAAGTGGCAAACCAAAATGCAACCAGCACCCTGGTGAGCAGAGAACAGCACAGTGAGAACATGAAGCGGTGGCTGCTGCCCTGCTTCTCGTCGTTCCATTTTATCCGTGAGCTGGCAGTGCTACCGTCCTGCACATAACTCATCTCCTCATATTAATATCATTACTAGTTTGTTTTTTAGACATGCTCAGTGTAAAAAACCATTTCATAATTGTTTGTTATTAATTTGCACAATTGTTAATGACCTCATAAATGATTTATGAACATGCTGACCGACTTATAAAGCTAGCCATTCCTATCTACTTACTCAGCACCTCCCCTCTCACCTCCTCATTTACCAACTCTGCTCATTCACTCGTTTTCCTGTGCTCTTTCCCCTTGCCCAGGTGAGCGAGCAGTTTGCCCGGCACATTGACCAGCGGATCCAGGGCAGCCGGATTGGGGGGGCCCGGGGAATGGAGATGTTGGCACAGCTGCAGCGATGCCTGGAAACTGTCCTCGTTTTCTCTGGCCTGGAGATAGCCACCACCTTTGAACATTACTACCAGTGAGTGTGGACCTAGGGGATGGGAGGTAGGGGCAGGCAGGATGACAGGGGCAGAGCCAGCTCACACAGCCGGGGAGGCTGGAGGCTCATGGAGTCCGGGCAGGCTGGAGGCCTAGAAGGGGCAGCAGGCCATGCACATTGCCTGCACTGAGGCTCGGCCCGGGCTGTGTGTGCTGCAGGCACTACCTGGCGGACCGTCTCCTGAATTTGGGCTCCGGCTGGCTGGAGGGGGCCGTGCTGGAGCAGATTGGCCTCTGCTTCCCCAACCGCCTCCCCCAGCAGATGTTGCGGAGCCTGAACACTTCTGAGGAGCTGCAGCGCCAGTTCCATGTCTATCAGCTCCAGCGACTCGATCAGGAACTCCTAAAGCTAGAGGACACAGAGAAGAAAATCCAGGTGGGTGCCAGGGAAGGGATTAGCAAAAGGGAAAGGGGTGCCCACTGGCTTCTGGGAACCCTGTATTCCTTCTTCAGGTGGGCTGTGCAGCCAGTGGCGAGGAGCATGACCCAGAGAATGAAGGGGAAGCTGAGGATGGGGGGGCAGCAGCGCCAGCAGCCGCGGAGGAGGAGGTGGGGGAGGAGGAGAACGAGGACCTCTACTACGAAGGGGCCATGCCAGACGTGTCTGTACTGGTCCTGTCGCCGCACTGCTGGCCCACTGCCTCCATCTGCCGTACCCTGAACCCCAGAACCTGCCTGCCCTCCTACCTCAGGGGCACTTTGAACCGATACTCCAACTTCTACAACAAGAGTGAGAGCCAGGGAGAGGGCACTGGGGCCTGGAAAGAGGATGGGATGCCGGGAAGGACCCTGGGGTGGGAGCCATGATGGGGGGAGGATTTGAGAAGGGCAGGAGCTTAGGTTTGTAGTAAGGGGGTGGGGCTATCAGGCACGAGATCCCTAGATGGTTGCTTTTTCTGTCCTTAAAATAAGACACAGGACTCTCCTTACGGGTGGTGGGGAGGATGGAGGCAGGAGGCCTGAGACCTCCAGAAAGGGCTTTCCCTTAGTGTGTCTGGCTCCTGGTAGCCTAAGCTCCCCACTGGGGGCTGATCCTTTTGGGCTGGGCAGTAACAAAGGAGGGGGAAGAGCCTCAAACACTGCCCTCAGGGGGCCCCCAGACTAATGAGGGAGACATTATTTCCTCGCTCATGGAGATTCCAGTTTGATGAGAGCTCCAGCCCATCCTTATTTCATGGTTTTCTCTCCCTATAGAAAATCGGAAACTCCTCTGAGGCACTGATCAGAGCTGCATGGGCAGGGCTAGACACAGGGTGGTCTCCCAGACACCTGAGGCCTAGCCAGGAGCAGACACAGAGAAGGCGGAGCTCTGGAAGCTTAGACCAGGAATCACAGTGTCCAAAACACAGGGCCACACGCTCTGCAGAGATTAGCAGGTGCAAAGCTTGACCAATGGTGTGCCCTCAACAGCCCCGCCTCACCCTTCTCCCCGTCCTTCTCAGGTCAGAGCTACCCTGTCGTGGAGCAGGGCCCGCATCGGCGGCTGCAGTGGACGTGGCTGGGCCGGGCTGAGCTGCAGTTCGGGGACCAGACCCTGCACGTGTCCACCGTGCAGATGTGGCTGCTGCTTTATCTCAACGACCTGAAGGTGGCCCAGCCCCCTTACGCCTCCCTGCTCTCTCCTCCCTTGTCCCTCATCTTTCTTCCCAAGACCTCAACTCTTTCTCCGCCTTCCCCCACCCTTTCCACTCCACTCCTTGGGAAGGCCCTGAATGTTTCCCTCCTCTTCTCTAAGATGGTCTCTGTGGAGAGTCTGCAGGCCCTCTCAGGGCTCTCTCCAGACATGCTGAATCAGGCGATCGGGCCTCTCACCTCATCAAGAGGCCCCCTGGACCTTCACGAGCCAAAGGATGTCCCAGGAGGTATGCACTTCTGGCAAAAGGGCCTCTGCTCAGAGCCAAGGCCAGCCTCCTCGTGGGCTCCCAACAAGTGACTGGCGCTTGTTTCAGGGGTGCTCAAGATTCGAGACAGCAGCGAGGAGCTCAGGCCAAGGAGGGGCAATGTGTGGCTCATTCCACCTCAGACATACCTGAAAGCTGAGGATGAAGAGGGCCGCAACTTGGAGAAGAGACGAAACCTTCTGAACTGCCTCATCGTCCGAATCCTCAAAGCCCACGGGGATGAGGGGCTGCACATTGACCAGCTTGTTTGTCTGGTAGGCAGGAGGCGGGCAGTGGTGAGGGGGCTTCGGGGTGTGGGGTGGTCCACCTCTGAAGTGTCTGAATCACTGTGGAGCCTGTGGGTGGTTGAGGAGTGAGGCTGGGTGCTTGTGCTGGAGTGGAGGCTAGAGGGGTGAGCAGGGTGTCTCTGACCTACTGTCTCCTCTCCCTCTTCTTGCCAGGTGCTGGAGGCATGGCAGAAGGGCCCGTGTCCTCCCCGAGATTTGGTCAGCAGCCTGGGTTGGGGTTCTGCCTGCAACAGTACCGATGTCCTCTCCTGCGTCCTGCACCTCCTGGGCAAGGGCACAGTGAGACGCCATGATGACCGGCCCCAGATGCTGTCCTACGCAGTCCCCGTGACTGTGATGGAGCCCCACACCGAGTCACTGAATCCAGGCTCCTTGGGCCCAAACCCTCCCCTCACCTTCCACACCCTGCAGATTCGCTCTCGGGGTGTGCCCTATGCATCGTGCACCAGCACCCAGAGCTTCTCTACCTTCCGGTAGCCCTGGAGATGAGGCCAGGGCTAGGTAGGGCTGGGGCTTTCCACAGAAATAAAATGCAGGCGTTTGATTATGTGGCCCGTGTGGTGACTGCTAGGGATCTGACAGGGGCAGGGCATGCTTCCCGGGTGGAGGGGGAGAAGAGCTTTCTACTTCTGGGGCTATTTCATGCCATGCCAGGAGTAACTCAGGAGGATGGCAGCAGGGGAAGAAAGAGAGAGGGAGTCAGGTGTGACCACTGACAGGGTGATTAAGTGGGTGGGGATAGAAATCTGCCCCTTCTCAGGGTATGTGATTGGAAGTGCTTTCACCTGGCAGACTGGAGACCCAAGTCCACTTTGCCACATGCTGGACAGCTTGCAACCTGGGAAGATTATCAAGCAGGGCTCCGTTTCCCTCACTTGTGGACTGGACCAGAGACCCTGTGGGACTCTAACAAGCTGCAGTGTGGCAGTATTTAAAAAGGTGGAAGGAAGGCTTTTCCAGTGCGTTGCTGTCAGCCACCAAGCCCATCAGTGAGGGGGATGCATAGCGCCTTCCCTGCATAAGACTGCGAGGGTAAAGGTGAGACAAAGGACCCTTGCAGCCATCACAGGCACCCAGGAGCCTCAATGTGTGCTCCATCTGCACACATTAGGATCGGGGTCAGAAGTAAATTGAGAAGGAACCGCAGCTCTCAGGAGTTCCTCCCTTACCCCTCATCGGGTGTGTTGAGATGCCGCTGTCCAGCTAGCCCAATAAACAGACCTGAGCCACCGGGGAGCTTCGCTTTTGCTGCTATGACTGGATCTCTTAGCTCCACCTACACCGAGGCAGGGTGGTTCAGCTAGAGGACCCAGTGCCGGGGGTGGAGCTCTGTCAACATAGGCCATCAGGGGAGGACAGAAGGAGTGACCTCAACAGCCTGAGTCCATACTGAGAGGTGACAGAAAGCTGCAGAAGAAAGGGGCAGGGAGAAGGGGGAGGAAGAGTCAAGTGGTGAGAGAGAGCACAGAGGTCAGACAGAGGAAACTGGGTGCCACCCAGGACTGAGATTTGGAATAGAATCTGTCAGGGAAAAAGGCCAGGGCTTGGGAGTCTGGATACCCGGGAGAGGCAACCAAACAGGGTGGCCACAGAAGGCCCTGCCCACTTTGCTTTGCAGCACGGTGGCCCTGTGGTGCTGTTGGCAGAGCTCGCAGCAGAGCCATCCCATTGGTCCCTGCAGTTCTGCAAGGCAGAAGACAGGCAGCAGCACGCTGGGGCAGCCCAGGCCCCGGGTAGGGGCCATACAGGTCGCTGCAGTTTGTCACGGGGGGGGCCTCTTCACCTTTGTGCCACAAACCAGGCCCATTTGTTTTATTGGCCCAGGCCGTGCCCTTATTTTTTAGCTAGTTCTCAGGGAATCAGAGCTTTTTGCCCTTCTCTGGGTTCTCACGTTTACAAGCCTAGCCTTGCCCACCAAAAACCCAAGAGAGTTCCTGGGCTTTAGTAGCCAGGCTAGCCAGCATGCAGTGCATGTAGGGGACAGGATAGGCCTTTCTTCCTCTGCCGTCCCATGCTGCTGCTCCCCTCACAGGCTCCTGCAGGGCTGAGCTGTAGGCCACTAGTCTTACTGCATTTGCTCAAGCGCTCATTCATCCTGCTTGGTCACCCTGCCCCCATCTCCCACAGGGTACCTACCTGCTGCTTTGCAATAGGTGAGTCTCCAGTAGTTCTTAAGGGAGGAACACACCAGCCTCGGCCCCCAAACCCTGCATGTTCCTGTTGCAGTCCAGCTTCTGGGTTGGCCACTGTCCTCAGCACATGGTCTAACTTCACACCCAGACTTTGGCCTGGTGGATTTGCCCAAAGCCAGCCATCTGAGCAAGCAACCCTGACTCTGCCTTTCTCTCCCCAGGACGAGGAAAGACTTGAGCCTCTCTTTGTCCTCAGGACTTTCCATCTCTAGAAGCCAAACATTTCCTGGACAACTTAGGGCAGAAGTTAGCTACCTGACTTCCTTGAGAGACTGTCCTTACAGCCTCAATTCCTTATAACCCTACAGCTTGTTTGCATACAAAGGACCACATATTGATTCCATTTATATGAAATAATCCCAAAATAGGCAAATATAGAGTCAGGAAGTGTTTGGTGGTTGCCTAGTGCTGGGGGACTGGGGAGCTGAGAAAAATGGGGAGTGACTGCTAGAGGGCATGGGGTTTCTTTTTGGTGTGTTGAAAACATTATGAAGTTGACCGGTGATGTTTGCACAATTCTGTGAATATACTAAAAACTATTGTACACTTTAAATGGGTAAACTGTATGGTATGTGAATTCTCTCTCTACAAAGCTGTTACTAATACTGCCTCCCACCCCTACCCGCCCCCAAAGAAATTAAAGCTCAAGCTCAGAGCTCTCTAGTTGCCTCTGGGTCACTGTTGAAAGGGGAAAGTAGTAGTTCAAAGGCCTGGGGTGCTGATATAACCTTGTAGTGGACACACATTGTGTTGTCTTGACCATCCTTCATCTGAACCCTTCATATGTTGGAAATTCTCCACCAAAAATCTAGGTACAAGATAGAGTCCACCTCCCAGCATATAAAATGCCAGATACTTGCCTTCCCAATATTCCCCCTTGCAGCCATACGGCCCAGGCTTGGTTAATCAGACACCTCAGCTGGGAATTTCTCAACCCAGGGCAAAGCAGGAAGGAAAGTGAAGTACTTTTCATGGCAGCAGTGACCTGTTCACATCCACACTCCACTTCTGAGATGTGATTTGGAGAGCTTTTACTGCTCAGACCTTATCTCTGCTCCCTGCCAACATAATCCTGAGCTTTGCACCAACCGTTTCTCTCTCCTTAACGTTGAGCCCAACAGTTCAATAGTATTTTCCTGCTTTTATCTGCCAGAATCTGTTCTTTGGCTTTAAAGACTGATGTATGTGACACTGGGGACCCTGTAGCACTGGATCCCTCACTCCCTCTGGGAAAGGGTAACTATTTGGCAGTCACCCCTACCCGCCCCCAAAGAAATTAAAGCTCAAGCTCAGAGCTCTCTAGTTGCCTCTGGGTCACTGTTGAAAGGGGAAAGTAGTAGTTCAAAGGCCTGGGGTGCTGATATAACCTTGTAGTGGACACACATTGTGTTGTCTTGACCATCCTTCATCTGAACCCTTCATATGTTGGAAATTCTCCACCAAAAATCTAGGTACAAGATAGAGTCCACCTCCCAGCATATAAAATGCCAGATACTTGCCTTCCCAATATTCCCCCTTGCAGCCATACGGCCCAGGCTTGGTTAATCAGACACCTCAGCTGGGAATTTCTCAACCCAGGGCAAAGCAGGAAGGAAAGTGAAGTACTTTTCATGGCAGCAGTGACCTGTTCACATCCACACTCCACTTCTGAGATGTGATTTGGAGAGCTTTTACTGCTCAGACCTTATCTCTGCTCCCTGCCAACATAATCCTGAGCTTTGCACCAACCGTTTCTCTCTCCTTAACGTTGAGCCCAACAGTTCAATAGTATTTTCCTGCTTTTATCTGCCAGAATCTGTTCTTTGGCTTTAAAGACTGATGTATGTGACACTGGGGACCCTGTAGCACTGGATCCCTCACTCCCTCTGGGAAAGGGTAACTATTTGGCAGGTACAGTCCTCAGTTTACAGTCACCAGAAGAGCACTGTTACGCATCATCTCACATTTCTGTCATTGGAACTGCATCTTCTCCCCCAGCCCAGAAGCATCGAGCCCTAGATGTTCTAGCTTCTAATTCTACCTTTTCTTTCTAGCTGCTTTTTGGCTGTTAGATGTTCATCTCTCTAATATCCTGTAATTTCTTATGGTTTATCTAGCTTCTCCCCCAGCCCCCAATCCTGTTTGGCATTAACTGGGCTGTTTGGTTCTTTGGGTTTATAAATTTCAATTCCAGAAAATTCTCAGCCTCTTCAATATTTTTTCTGGAACTGTGACTGTATGTGCCACACATTCTCACTCTATTGTCTATGTTTTTTAACCTCTTTTCCTTAGTTGCCATTGCTCTGTATCCCTCTGCAGACCTACTTTGTTCATAAAGTTAACCATAAAGTTAAAAAAAATTTTTTTAATTTCTAACTTCAAATACTCTAATTTGTCATTTTTTAAAGTTTTCACTTTTTATCAAACCAATCTGATCCTTTTTAGTATTCTTTCCATTAGTTATACTTTTCCTTTAAATATAAGTAAGACATTTTACAATTTGTATTTTATATCTCCAGTGTCTCAGTCTTTGCTAGCTGATTCTGCTGCCTATTACTCCCAACGATTCCTGCTTACGGTGGTTTCTTTCCTTGTGTGCTTTGTGTTTTCACTGAAAGCTAACATTCTTTGAAATTCTGAAGGAACTCCTTGAAGTCTGGGTTTAAAGTACAATCCTTAAGACAGGCTTGCATTTGCCTTTGCCAGGTACCTGAAGGAACTACCAACCTGAGACCACTTTAAATCGATAACCAGCTCAAGGATTTTCTAGTCTACATGGGTAGAATGAATTCTAGACCCAAACAGTATTGAGAGCCAGCTTTGGTTACATGTTATTGAGGAAGCTTTTGTTGCATCCAAAACTGAAGCTAAGTCAGTGAGCTGTGGGACTGTTTCACTCTTTCAATAATTGTGTCATCTTTTGGGTTTAAGTAGGAAGAGTATTTGATCAGAATTTTTACTTTGTAGGAGCCTTAGGTTTGTTGCCTACTCCCACACATGGTCCATAAAACTAGCTCTGGGCCACCCACAGTTCCCACAAAAAAATGCAGAATAATAAAAAGATGAATGACAAGGATGTTTATGAACTGGCTCCACAGAAAGTTCCAGCCCTGGGAACGACTTACAGACCCATGCCTTCACTGGCCTCTTTTCTTCTAGACCAAGGTCACCGGTTTAAGGCAAAGATGGGAGAAGACACAATGATGTGATAAACCAGATCCAAGCAGAGGAAGTGTGGCTCAGTAGAAGGCTGAGCTGCTCTTCTTGTTCAGCTCTGGGCAGTCCAAGCGCCTCTAGAGGTCTCTGAGCCAGTCATGTTCAAGAGCATCTGTGACCCTTGCCCTCGGATGGGAAAGAACCAGAAAAGGCCAAGCCCAAGCTCTGTCTTTACAGATTCATTTCCCACTGGGGAAGTAGAAGAGCTGAGGACAGTTTATTACTCTTTGCTCAAAGGGAGATGTCTCCGGTCCTTGCCTGCATTTCGACGCCTCTTTCGATTCAAGAAGCTATCTAGCTTCTTGCTGCGTTTCAGCTCCTTGAACTTCTCAGCCAGGGCTAACTGGCGCTGCTCAGCTAGAGAATAGAGAAAGAAAGCTAGTAGGCGGAGGGGGAAATGCCATCTTTCCCTTTCCCTGGGTCAGTAATTCTCAACCACTCTGCTGGGATACACAACTTGTTTCAGTTCACTGGTGCATCTAAGCAAGCTGACTTTTTCTATCATTTCAGTCTTTTTCAATTAAACTAACTGTGAGCTCCTCTTATGTGCCCAGCCCAGCATATGTTGGGTGGTGAGACTGAGATAAAATCAACACCCTCTGCCCATAATTTAATTGGGGATGCAAGCTGGGTTATAGGTAACTCCTTTCTACTATTTCTACTTTCCTCCAGCTTACCATGGAATCCAGCCTTCATGCCTCCCTTAGGGAGCTCATGGACCCCCAACACAGTATCTGCCACCATGGCCACTGAACCTGTCCGCGTAACCAGCCTGTAATAGCTGTGCTCACTCACATTTCTTCAGGAAGTACGGCCGACGGCCCTGCTGGGCCTGAGCCCGCCGCTCCCGCTTCAGGGCCAGGCGCAGCTCCTGCTGCCGCTTCTGTTCCTGCTGCGCCATTTCTTGCTGCTTCTGAGGAGCAAAGGTAAGAGGAATAAACAGGAGGGACTGAGAATCACCTCCTGCCTTGATCTGCTCTCACCACCAAGGCAATTCTGACCACTCACCATTCGCTGAAGCAGCTGCTGCAGTTTCTCATGCTTCTCCCTGGAATGGTGCTTCTTTAGTTGCTTTTTCACAAGCTCCACATTGGAAAATGAACACGATGGTTGGCATTAGCATTCTGTAAATGTTAGCTGACACGCTGTGTCAAGAATTATTCTAAGAGGTTCATACGGTCACTCAGTGACTAACTATACAAGATAGGAATCGTCATTTCTTTTTGTGATTAGAAAACTGAAGCAAAGGTTAGGTAATTTGCCAAAGATCACATAGCTAGTAAACTGATGAGCCAGGATTTGACTATGTAAGAACCAAATTAGGGAGAGTTAAATCTGCCCGTCACTGCTCTAATCTGTGCCCTTGTTTGCATCCCTCAGAACCCTCACTCTCTCACACTGCACACCTTTTTCTCTTTGGCTCTGATGTCATGCAGGAATTGATATGTCTTGTCAAACACCTCAGGATTATATTCCCCTGACAGATCATCAAAGCGGGGATCCCGGGCTACCTTTGGGGAAAACAGAGAGAATATAAAAGAACTGTTCAGTGTCCTTTCACCGAGAAAGTGCTTCTTGCCTCTTCCTCACCTTCTTACTGATGGGGACAACTTGCCGCAAAAACGGCACGCGGACCTTGGCTGACATTTCCAGAGGTCTATGGAGAAAACAGACGACAGATCAAGATGCCAGTCTTGGTCAAAGGCCTCCCACATGCCACCTAAGAATGCAGATACCTCCTCAAGGTTCCAGGTACCCTCCAATTCCCAAAGCAGGTCTTGCTCCTCACCTGTGCTTATCTACGACACATACATTTTGGACAGGTGGCCTAGAGCCTTGCTTCTTAGTACTGTTTCTGGCTACTGACTGTTTGTATGTCTTAGTCCCCTCTTGGCTCTGCAATTCCAATAGCTCCTCAAATGACATGTTAGATGTGCCTGTGGAAGAGTGGGGAAGGCAGAACACAACCCAGTTCAGCATCACCCATTGAGGCAAAGACATCATCCCATCCTCATTCCTTAGGTAACTGATCATTTCCAAAATCCCCATCAGATGAATCACTACAGAGCCCAGGCAGCACAGGCTGTAACTGTACTACACCGACACCTAACTTCCCAACTGTTCCAGTTATCTGGGGCCTCACCTTGCTAAAGAAGGCTCACATGTAAGGCTGGAGGACCAAGCCATGGTCCTTTCTTTTTTTACCCTCTTTTAAATTTTTCCTTCACAGGTTTCCCCACAAGGGCCTGTCTCCCTTGTCAATGTTCCATTTCTACTCTCAGCACCTCTCACCTCAATCAGTGCTCTAGCCTCCTAACAGGTCTCCTGACCTCCAGTCTCACTCCTCTCAAAGCTATGCTCCCCACTTCACCTGAGAGAGGCACTGAAAATGTATATCTGATCTTTTCATTCCACCTCATTTCCATAAATATGTACTTCAGATCATGTCACTCTAGAAGTCAAAATTCCCCAACAGCTTCAGCTTGCTCAGAGTAAAAACTACAGGGCTTACAATGCCTGAAAACCCTCAGGTAACCCAGCCCCTCCCACCCGACTACCTCCATGCTATCTCTAACCTCATCTATTAATCTCCTTGCCACTCCTCTCCAGTCAACCCTCAGTCTGCCAGCCTCCTAGCCTGGCAGCTGCCCGTGGCTTCCTGAGCAGGAAGGTATGTTCTTTGCCACGGTTCCTTTGCTTGGAACACTATCTCCAGATATATTTATTGCTTGCTCCCTCACCTTCTACAAACCATTGCTCAAATGTCACCTACCCTGTGAGGCCTCCACTGATTATGTAAAATTACTATCATTCCCCTGCTTTATTTCTCTCCATAGTCCTTATCACCTTTCGGGAAAATTGAGATACAATTCACAGACCATAAAGTTCACCCTTTAAAAATATACAATTCTGTGCTTTACTGCCTTTCAATATTATTAATTTGCTTTTATTTTTTTTACCGCCCTTTCTAAAAGGTAGACTCCATGAGGACAGTTCTGACTGCTATATTCATTATTGTATCTCCAGGATCTAAAACTGTGCCTGCATACAGTAGGTGCTCAATAAATGCTTGCGAAATTTGTTGAATCCTGACCTACTAACCCTTCCCCAGCAACCCATGCCTTTCCCTGACTCTGCTTTGCACATTTCCTCCCTGCGTCACACCCTCACTCCCCCCTTTAAGAACTACGCAGGATGTCCTAACTGGCAGCATCCCCTGTGGCTCCTCACTTTCCATGGCGCTGGGGCCACTCCCCGTGTCTGCAGCCTCCCGGCAACCGCCTGCCGGCTCGGAGCCCGCACTAGCCCTGAGCTCCAGGGCATGGGGCGGATGCAGCCAGCTGGCCCTGCCCCCGCCCCAGCGCCCGCGCCGCGCGCCGCCCCTCGGCCCGGCACCTTGCCCTCACCCTTCCGCAGGTCCCCGGCCCCGCGGGGAGAGCCGGCGGCCGCCCCGGCGGGAGCACTCACTCTCGGCATTGGCTCAGCCGGCGCGACGAGGACGAATGGCGCCGCTTCCGCTCGGGCGGCTCCCGCCCCGCCCCTTCCGGCATCTCCGGGATTCCGTCCGCACCGGCTGGTGATCAGAGCTGAGCACACCGACTAGGCTCCCAGCGCGGGAGGCTGCTGGTGGGTGGCAGGGAAGCCCTAGGCCGAAAAGGGCGCCCACTCGAGATAACATCGCCAGCTTTTGTCACATGGCGCTGGACTCCCTACCAAAGAAAAACTTGGGCCAGTGCCTGCTGGCATTTGATTTCCTAACGCTCTTGGTTGTGTTAGCCAGGAAAATAGCTATGAGGGGGCTCGAGAGCGAATAAGGCCTATAAAGCCCACTAAAAGGGACTCCAAAAGTTAACCAGTTAAAACTATAGAGAGCCAGTAAAGACTCACAGAGTAATGAGTTAATAATCAGTTGAAGCTCCAAAGGCCGGGAGCAACTTGCAATATCCAAATACTCCCCAGATAAAGGAAAGTATGAGCGCAGCCCGTCTTCATCGTGTCAATTAGATCATGCCATTGTTTTAAGATTTACTTCAGCCTGCTAAAAGGCTCAGCTTATTCTTTAACCTAACCTGTATGTTGTGTTTTTTTCTCCTCCTCCAGCCTGTAATCAAGTAATTTGCAACCTGGGCAGGAGACAAGCATTATGATAATTATCCAAACAAGCCCAGATATAAACAGCATAGTAAAAGTTTCCAAGGTAAGATTGCATTTAAAACCCAGGAAGTTAAGAAGATTCTTAACATATTCTTCAGTGGACAGTAACTCAGCCCACCTTGAGGGCAGGGCAGGCAGTTTTGTTATGTTCCCAGAGGGAACCTGCTATCCATGGGAGGAACCGTTGTCAGTAAATCTGTATTAATTTTGCAGAATTACCTGGAGGACTGGTAATAGAAGAGACGAAATGCCTCTCATCAAAGATAAACATTTTGAGACCACTAAGAAGTCTACACCCCTACCCTTTGTCACATTCCTGGAAAAATCCTTAAAAGGGGAAAAACCTTATCTTTCAGTGCACCTCTTCTCTGAGGTAGCCCACACTCCCCATTCTCCGAGTGTGCACCTTTTTGCCTTAAAACTTTTTCTCAACCTCTCAGGGCACCTCTCTCTGAGGTTACCTGCATTTTCTTTTTCTTTAAATAAAAAACCTCTCAGGTTTTTCTCTGAGGTTCCCTGCACTTTTTCTCAACCTTTCAGGGTGTGCCTCTCCTCTCTGAGGTTGCCTGTGTACTTTTTCTCTTTGTGTAACTTTATTAAATAAAACTCTGCTTCACTACTGTGTCTCTGCCCTTCAATTTTTTGTTGCGGCAGGACAAGAACCAAGAAATAGACACAACACCCCGCGAACTGAGTAACCAGAACTTGTTACCTGCCTTCTTTGCAAACTTCTGCCATTCCCAGCATATTCCATCCACATAAACAGATCACACGTTTGGAGGTTTTTTATTTATTTTTATAAAATCTGAGCTGGCTGAGAGCATCAGGGTACAGCAACAGCTCAAGAAAGGGAAGGGTGGGATTATCTGCTGGTCCTCGCCTCCCCAGGTAAGGGAGGAGGTTTCAATTCAGCAGCTGCAACTCCTCTCAGCTCCCAATCAATGCTCATGGCTCAAGCAGGAGGAAGGGTGGAAACGGGTGGGGGCAGCTCCTGAGGCTCAGACACTGCTTGCTTCTCGCTTCTCCCTTCTCCCCATTCCCTTCACTTCCTAGCAGGGCCTGGCTGGCCTGGGGCAGAGCAGAGGCCCAGAAGCAGTTGGAGGGAGGTGGGCGGGACAGAGCACCAAGGGAAGGGCCCAAGGGGGAAAGAGACCTAGCGCTCCCCCTACAGCTCCCCACTGAGTTCACAGCACAGACAACACCTCTAGTCCAACAACTCCACATGGAGGTATACCAAGTCCAGGGTCCAAAGGGACAGGCAGGTGAGAGATGGGCAGGGGCAGTGAAGATAACAGCAGGCTCAGGAGGGGAGGCAGCAGCAACTTCCTCCTACCCATGGGAGGAGACGATGGGGCGGCTGATATTGCTGTTGGTGGTCATGGCGTTCAGCTCCCACCTGGGAGGCCAATAATGACAGGCAGAAAGAAACAGGAGTAAGCCTCCACCCCAGGCCCAGAATTGCTCCAACAAAGCTATGAACACATCAGTCCCTTCAACTTCCTAAACCTCAACCACCCACAGCCACCTCTTCCTTACAGCCCTAAGTTTATCAGGCTCCGCCTACCACCAAATTAAGCTTATCACCCATTCTTTCATCTGCACGCTCACACAGACTTCCTGCTTGTTTTTGTGTCTGTGTGTCTCTATATATTCTTGTGTCCCCAAAAGCTGGAGAAAAGCACCTGTATACACATCTCAGTAATTGTCTTCCACACTCCCTTTCTGCCTCTGCATAGATCCAAACCAGGTAACCCCTCTCCTCCCACCAAGAATACCCATTTTTGCTCTCAACTCCCATCCCTTTAAGGCTCTGATTGGGCTCTCTTATCCCTCCTGAAGCCTTGCCCACCCATTCCACCATATTAAAATTAAATCCCTCTTTTTGACAATTCTGTCACTCTACAGAGACCCACTAAGACCCTCCCTGTGCCAAGACACTCAGTACAGTCTACCTGGTATTAGACACTTGTGCATGTGTTGTGTTAATCCTGGGCCAGCCCAGGATCCATCAATTCAGCCATGCATACCATGTCAGCAAATACTCAACACACAGACCCTCAGCAAATAAAAAGTTAAGCTAAACTGATACAACGGAAGGGAAGTGTCTCACAATGACCCAGAAGGGCACAATTATACACACAGTAACTTTCAGTGCTTAATTTGGACCTAAGAATGGAATTCAAAGAGAAGTAGGTAGGAGGGACCTCCCTTAACTCTGGAACTGTTATCCTGAGGTTCCTAAACTTGTCTTTACTTTGCAGCTGGGTTTGAAGATTTAACCAAACTTTTTCAGCATGTTAACAAAACTAACTGTATAGGCTCAATTCTCAAGAAGTGATGCTTTAGCGTGGTTTGAAAAACTGGTTTGTCACCTAGGTGACATTTTTCTAACTCCTTCCATCTCATTCTCAAGTATACTACATCTCCAGCAGAACAAACCCTCATCTCCTCCATACTCAGATCAAGCTAATCAGTTCGTTCTCCTACTATCCACTCACCCTCAACCAATTCCTCCTTTCCAACCACCCAGTTACCTGATGTCATGGGGCAAACAGGACTGGTCAAGGTTATACTGAATCACAGCCAGTTTGCACAGCGTCTTCAGACTAGGGCCTTTAAAGAAGTAGGGGAGAGGGAGACGGTCAAAGCCAAGGAAAAGGTCCAGTCCTGGATGTCACCACCCAAAGAGAGGGACCCTGATGGCAGGAACACTTTGGGACTAAGTGTACTTACTAAAGTCCAAGATGTGTAAGTCAGAATGGTCTATGAGGTCAAATTCATCTCCTAGGCCTTCCTCAGGTGATGGACTGTGGAGACCGAGGAGATGGAGGAGGAGGAAGGAAAGACCATATGAGACCCTCTTGCTCAAAAGCCCCCATGTTAGTCACAGATGCAGGCCCTTCCCTAAGCCCTCCCTGCTCTCCTCCTAACCTGGTACCCCCGAAGAGGACAATCTTGTCACCAACAATACAGCAGCACTGGCGCCGGCGGGGACATGGCCCCTTCCCCTTCGGTTCAATCTTCTTCCAGGTAAAGGACACTAATGAGAAGTTTATGCAGAGGCTCAATACCTGCCCAATCTAGACATCCTCCCAAGTCCCCATCCCTTACCCACTCAGGATTATTCTCTTCTACTCCCACACCTCCACCCCTCGTCAACCAACTGCTTCTTATTTCTCCCTTAAAGGCAGCAAGCACTCTTTACCAGGGTTAAACTTCCAGAGGTCATGGAAGTGCCGGTTCAGCCTTGCATTATAGCCACCAAAGATGTACAGCTCCCCGTTGTAGCCAACTGCAAGGACAGAGGAACATCAAGAGTCTGAGGACAATGAATGGGAAGGGGGACTTTGTGGGGACCTAAGAGACACTCACAGGCTGAATGGCTCCGGCGCCCCTCAGGCAGCACTGGAGTGGGTGGACAGTCTAGCCAGGCCTCAGTCCTGGTGTCAAAGACACGGATGCGGTTGCAGTAAATCTCATTGTTAGAATGGAATGGCCCAAAGCGGTCGGCACGGCCCCCAAAGACATACATGTGACTGCCCAGCATCGTGGCTGAGTGGAAGTCTCTCCATCGTGCAGGGTTGCCCTGCGCAGAAGCAGAGAGATGAGGGGGAGGGAGTCAGCAAGGAGGCCAGGAAGGGATCTGATCTCACTGTTTGAGCTCCCTATGGTTTCTTCAATTGAGGGTAGGGATCCGGGAAAAAGAAAAAAGGGCAGACCTTTGTACAGATAAGTGTCCATGTCATGGTGCTAGTATCCAGCTTATGAATGTCATTGGAAAAGCAGTCCGCCTGAGTGGAATGAGAAAGGAAGAGAAGAAAGGAATAAAAGAGGGTCACTCACTGGTCACTTTCTGACCTCAAAACCTGCAAACAAGCCAGAGCCTCCCCACCACCCTCAACTCCTCTTCCACTTTCTGATTCCCACTCTAAACCTCTAGTTTCTTCCCAGACCTACCAGCTGCTCATAGCCCCCAAAAATGTACATGGTCTTGCCCAGGACACAAGCCGAATGTCCATCCCGGGCCCCAGGAACTGTTCCTGACACACGGGGTGTGGACCACTTGTGAGTATCTGAAGGAGATGAGAAGATGGACCAGGTAAGCAACCTCTGCCATTCCCTTCTGGACTCTGGGGTTCCCAATTCCCAGCTGCTTGAGCCCACACCTTTCCCAGCCCAACGCACCATTTGGTAGAACACAGCCCCTCTGAGACCCATACTCACTGACGTCAAAGGCATACAGCACATTGCAGGCCCCTTCGGTGTCATTCCGCCCGCCCCAAAGGAAGACTGTGTCGTCGATGAGAACGGTTGAGTGTCCATACCGCATGTAGGGTACCACGGGAACCTGCCCCCGGATGGCAGGCCTCACTGGGGGCAGCTTTGTCCAACGCAAGGACACTGTGGGCACAGTTCTGCTCAGCGCTGGGAACCTCCATCCCCAGCGGTACACCTTTTCCTAAGCCGATATTCATTCCCCCATACCTTTTGGCTATGGGGACCACGACAAAACCTCATTCACCTGCCCGTTCCCCTCCCTGATGTGGGCACCCAGGGCTGGTTCCAGCATTAGCTTACCTGCATTGAAAATGTGCACATCAATCTGACGCAGTGTTTCATAGTCTTCACCGGAGCAGTAACCCCCGAAGGAGAATACCCGGTGCCCAACAGCCACGGCAGCATGGTTCACCCTGCGGGGCCCGCCCTCCAGGTGCACTGTCCACCGTAACATCCCCTGGGCCACGGGTCACAGCAACATGCCCCCCCGGCACGGCCTGCTGCCTCTGCTGCCTGCAAACAAGTTCGGGCCACAGGCTCCTCAGGCAGAACCTCTGTCTGGCTCACTGTGACTCGGTCACCCTGGTTGCCCTCCCACACCACCCACTGGCAGCTTGGGTGGCCAGCCCTGCCCCAGGGGCACTGCTGAGGTCAGGGAGCAAGCCATGGCCCTGTGTCCTCCAACAGAGAAAAGTGGGGCCCCTCCAACCTGACTGCCAGCTCAGAATCTGCTGATCAAGAGCTCAGCATGGTTGCCCCCTACTCAGGGGTTCCACCCTGTCCCTGGCCTGGCACAAGCTCCATGCTCACTTCCCAGACCAGTGTGTTCTCATCTCTCTGGCTCTGCTTACTGCCACCTCTCTAAGAATCTCTGTGCTCTTTAAGGTGGGGACAGAGATCTCAAAATACTCAAAGCTATTTATAGCCCAGCTGGCCTGAGATGGTCCACTAAAAACCGGCATGGATGCTTACAAGCAGAAAAGCTTGTAGGCTTTTAGAGTGGAAGAGCCCCCTATCTATCCAGGACAGGGACCTCCATGTCATCATGGACGGTTAGCCCCTCACAGGCAGCTCTTGTCAAGCTGAGGTGTTGTCACTGGGGTCACCCAGGGCCCCTTACAGGCACGAGGAGTTTCTGACAGCTGTGCCTGGTATGCTGCGAAGACCAAGAACTTAAGCCAGAAAGCATGTGTCTGCCAGGAACTGAGGGAATGGGGGTGGGGAGGAGGGTTTTTCTCCACCTGCCACTTCCCCAAGCCTGCTATCATGATAGAGAACAAGCTGTTTCCAGCTAGCAGCTCTTCTCCCACCTGGGTGCTTGAAAGGGAACAAGGGTGGGGGAGTGCACTGGAAAGGGGAAAGGAAGCAAAAAAAGCCCTGGAGTAGGACAAGAAAAGATCCAGGCACGAGACCCTCTTTCATAGTCTTTGAAAAATAACCTGCCAAGCTAGTGAAAAGGGGTCTATCTGAAGGTTCTGTCAGGCAAATTCTCCTGCAAAAGCGCTGCCTCTGCTGGCAAGCCCCTGTTGGGTCTGGGTGCATCATCTGCTCCCCATTCAAGAAGCCCTAGCAGAGGGAAGAATCAGGCAGAACCTCAGCACAGCAAAAGCTCCAGTAAGGGAGGCCCCTCGCAAGAAAGAGACATAACTTTTGGCTGACTTGCCAGTCTCCAGCCACCCTCCTCCATCTCCCTCAACCCTCCACCCCATTGCTTTAAATAGTAGCTACCCTGCCAAACCTAAAATAGCCCCAGCAGGAAACCACTCTCATTTCATTACTCCTGTCCTCTATCCAAAAGATCTTGGATCTGGGCTTTGGGGGACAGACAGGAGGTGGAAGGGCTTTAGAATGGGAGAACTTCATCTTCCCTCATAGCTTCTATTTCCCCTTGCAGCTAATCAAGGTATGTCAAGCCGCGGGGGGAGGGGGCAGGAAGCAATTCCACCTCATGATGGAGAAAATCTTAGCTTCTTCGTAAGGACAATTCAAGTTCATGAAAAAAGAGCCTGCACCCTCTCAGGGGCTCTGCTTATCTCTGAGTCCCCTGTATCCTTCATCATTGCTGCATTCTCAAGTTTCTTCAATTCCCTTCATTTACCTACCTGCCTCCCTGGTCTCTTGTAATTTTCACTCCCTATTTCTGGCCCTTCTTGATCTCCTGAGAGCTTTGCAGTTTTTTCTTTTTTCCTTCTCAAGCTGCTTCAAGCTCCTCCCCAACAGCCCTCCATTTTCCCTCTTCCACTAAGGGGCAAAAGCAAATATTCATTGCCCTCTTTCGGCCACAGATATATTCCTCCCTGTATATGACGCTATCCTGTGTTCTTCCAGTCATCCTGACCTCCCCTACCCCAGAGCCAGATTCCCCTCCTGTTATCTTCGGCTTCTCCGTTCTACTCATAACCCAGGCTCCTTCCAATTCCCTTCAGAGCCTCCTCCAGCCACCCCGTCTCTCCCACCCATTTCCTTACCATCTTCCCCCGGCCCTTCTTTCCCTATTAACACTCTCCTTTCCCATCATCCCCCTAGTTCCCTCCCCACCCCCACCTCATCGCTCTCAGGCCCCTCCCCACGACGCCAGCTCCAAACGCGGGCGACCCGAGCCCCTCCAATTTTCCTTATTCCTCAACCCATCCCGGACTACCTGCCAGGCCGGGCCGGGGCGGGGCCGCGGGTCGTCGCGCTACCTGCAGCCTAGAACCCGTTGTGCGCCGCCAACCGACTACTAGATCCCCAACGAGATAAACACAGCCAGACCCCCGCTTCCGCCGGGCAGCTGTGTGCGCACGTGCAGTCAAGTGATAAGCACGCAAAGCCTACCGGGACTTGTAGTCCACGTGTTTCGGAGAGACGCAAGGGTCTGAGGGGCAGGCAGAAGCCTAAAGAGATTGTGCGCATGTGCATATGTGTCCCCCTCCCCCCACAAAAAAAACTTGGGGGTCACTGGGTAATGTAGTCCGTTGTCAGGACAGAGGATGGCGGAGGTGGAGCAAGGGCCGGACTCCTCGTTTCCGTTAGCGGGAATCATGAGCACGGGGCGGGGCTTGAGGATAGGCGCTCCAGCACGTCCTGCCCCACCGGAAGTGAACGTTCGGGTTTGACTCCGGGCTCCGAGCTGGTGAGGCGCGCGCAAACACCGGCGCCGAGAGACGGTGGGGGCGGGTGGGGGACGACGCAGCTGGGGCCATTTGAGGGGAGCCCCTGGGGCCTGAAGGGCGTTTATCAGGTGGTACAGAGAGCAACCCTTTGAGAATGTGAAAGGGGGCGACTATAACCTGTTTAGGGGAGCTTGGCGACCGGGAGTTACCAAGTGCGGAGTGGGGGAGGGTGAAATTATGGAAGGGTGTGTTTGGGGAGGTGGCGTGGCCTGCTATTAAGAATTTGCCGGAGCAAGGTGGGTGGGCCTCGGTTCGAGATAAGAGACTACTTAAAAGGTGGAGGGCCCAGAGGATGGAGTACAGGAAGCTTGGGAGCATTTAAATGTTGTGTGGACTTAGGAGACCACAGGTGAGTGGATAAGGGGCTGAAGGTGGACCTAACATCATTCGACCCCAATTTTCCTGTCCCCCTGTTCAGCCCTTGTCCGGATGGCAGCAATAGTTCTAGGGGGAGACACCATGGGCCCTGAGCGAATCTTCCCCAATGAGACTGAGGAACTAGGGCAACAGGGCCCTACAGAAGGCACTGGGGATTGGAGCAGTGAGGAACCTGAGGAAGAGCAGGAAGATACGGGGGTAGGCCCAGCTGGCTACTCTTACCAGCCCCTGAATCAAGATCCTGAACAAGAGGAGGTGGAACTGGCACCAGTGGGGGATGGAGACGTAGTTGCTGATATTCAGGATCGGATCCAGGTATGGTGGGAGAGGCATTGTTCCTGAGCAGGTGAAGCTGGGGTCCCCAAAGAGCTGGCCCTAAATTGTGTTCTCTTTGGCTCTGCAGGCCCTGGGGCTTCATTTGCCAGACCCACCATTAGAGAGTGAAGATGAAGATGAGGCGGGAGCTACAGCATTGAGCAACCACAGCTCTATTCCCATGGACCCAGGTTAAAAAATCATTCATTCTGGAATAATTATGGAAGAAAGAGACTGGTCAGAAATAGTAAAGTGGCAGAGGAACACCCTGTTCCTAAAACAGTTTGTAATCTAAGATTTTGCAGACTTCAGAATCTAGGTGAAATGCTGTTCTACTAGACTTGGAGGATGGACAGGCGTGCCTAGAAATAACCGGATGGATTTGGTGACCTTACTAGCCAAAGGGTTCTGGGTTAATTCAAGAAATAGAGAGGGGAGCTGGTCCCACTGTTCTCTTATGTCCTAACTGTTCCTCACTTGATTTCAGAACATGTAGAGCTGGTGAAAAGGACAATGGCTGGGGTAAGCCTGCCTGCGCCAGGCGTTCCTGCCTGGGCTCGGGAGATATCAGATGCCCAGTGGGAAGATGTGGTACAGAAAGCACTCCAAGCCCGGCAGGGGACCCCAGCGTGGAAGTGACCATCCTGAGAGCTGCCTTATCTCCCTGCATTCCATGCCAGAACTAGCATAGAACTGAACATATCCCTGGTTGTAATGTCCATGTCATCCTCCCATCTCCCTTTCTACATCAAGGCAATTCAGACTTCTCAGAGACCCACTTTATTCAGTTCTGTACATACGGGGACATCTGCCCAAGCCCAACCCACCTTAGCATGTTTCATTCTGTGAGCACAATAAAGCACCCTATGTACACAGCTATAGCTGCACTGCCTGTGCCCCTGTAACCTGGGTCCAGCCGTCCTCAGCCCCTTGCTGCTCCAAGGTGTCTGAAAGGGACAAGGAGGGCCTGCCCAGCATCAACGCAGACAAGGAAATAAATAGGTGTTGGGGGAGCCATGCTTGGGGCACTGCTCCCTGCCTCCTTCCTCTAGCTTTGGGGACAGCAGTCAGTCCCAGGGTGGTCCCTTCCATGTCTGTAGTCCCAGGACTGCTGCTCACCAAAGGGGGTGCACAGGCAGGGTGTTCATTCACCCTCTCCTCTTGATCCATCTGGGCCCTATGTTCATCACTTATTGTCCATAGCCTGTGTTCTTTTGACCTCCTACCTTGTCTTGGTCAGGCAAGGGGCAAGGGGCAATAATTCAACCCCATGAGCCTGCACAGTGCTGGGGCTGGGGGCCTATTTGTGCTGTTGGGGGTTGGCTCCCCTCCAGCTGCTCACTCACTCCAGGCGCCAATGAGGCTTGACTTAACTTTGGTGAAAATAATCTCCCACTGCTCCCTATATTCTTCTGCAAGGGAGGGAGGGAAGGAAAGACAGCTGGAGTTCAAAGGAAGATGAAGGGAAGGGGAGAGGAGTATATACGTATTCCTGTATGACTTTTCAGAGCAGCCTCAGATAGCTGTGGGATTAGGAGCAGAGGGGACAGGCATCCATCCCCACGTTGTCTGAGCATGGAGATGCTCAGCCTGTCTGTACTAGCCACAGGGAGGCATGAACACATTTTGGGGAGAAGAGGGACCACTCTGGGTGTCCCTGCTTCAAGTGCCACATCCCCTCCCTAGAGTAGCTAGAGAGGCACTGCTTTGCCCCAAGTCTGCCAGTGGGGAGCAGAGGGTGGAGGGTTGGGGCAGTGTCCCAGGACTGAGTGGGCTGTGGCCCTGTGGTGGGAAGGTGAGGGGGTCAGAGCGCCTCCTGGCTGGCAGTTAGGAACTCTTCCGCCCGCTTGTGGGCCTCCAGAGCCTTGATGGTATACACGTCCTGAGGAAGCTCCGACTTCCTCCGAAGCAGCACTTTCTCCTTCTTGATGTCCTTTAGCATCTATGTGTGAATATGGAGAAGGTGAGAAACAGGACCAATTCCCAATAAATTCCACTGTTCCCTCCCCTTACTCCTCGGCTCTGTGGCTCCTGTCTCCTCTCCCTTCCAGCTTTTACTTCTGCACGTCCCCCGCTTTGTGCCCTCCCACCTGCACAGCCTCTGTCTCCACTGTCCGCTTCAGCAGCTGGATGTCCTCTGCTGTGGGGGTCTCTGTCTCCATCGAGTACACAGGAGGCAGCGGTGGGGGGGCTCGGAACATGGGATACTGAGGAGGAAAGGAGGCATGGGCAAGGCTGAAGGCCACTTCAGAAGTTCAAGGACCTATTTGCTTCATATTCTTCAAAACACCATCCTCCAGCCCAAGGTGGACAACTCAATTTAGGGCAGTGGCAGAAAAAACTCACCTGGGGATTAAGTCGGGCCAGCTCCTCAATCTTTTGCCACATCTCTTCTCTTTCCTTCATTCGGAACCGGCCCCTGAGAAAGCAGACGTAGTTTGGGGTTGTTCTTGAGAAAGAAGCAAAGGGGGCTGGTGGGAGAATATGAAAGCCCGCTGTAGAGACTCACTTCTGTTTCTCTGCCTTGTATTGTTGTGTGCAGTCGTCAAAGAGCTTCTGATTCATCTCCATAAACAACTTGAGTGCATTATAGATCAGTCCATGGATCGTCCTGCCACCAGGAAGAAAGATGAGGTATAAGAGGCCAGGGCCTGCCCTTAGTGCCAGGACCCTAATTTGCTCTCTCCTAGGAGGTATTCTCATTTACTACCACCATTTCACAAACCTCTGTACAGTGTAAACTCATCTCTGGCCAAATAACATGACTTGAGATTGCCTCTCAGCATCTTCACAAATATTGGCCCATTTGTCCATCTTTCCCCGCAACCCTGTGCTCCAAGACCTACCTTCTTCCCACTACTTCCCATTTTCTAGCCCACAATAGGGGCCTCCCAACAGCATGGTGGACACATCTGTACCACAGTGCACTTGCTTTTAGCAAGAAAGCTTTTTTACAACACTGGGATTCAACACATACTGAAGAACACATGGGCTTCTCAGAGCAACAAATCACATCTCCAAAGCTACAGAGTATCTGACTGCAAGAGACGTACTACAGGCCACTGGATCACTGCATCACAGAGATCTCTCACAGAGGTACCTTTTCTCCCGTCAGTCCCTCAAGATCCTAGCAATGCACTGGGCACCTACCCCCTTGCTGAGTGACCAGATAAGACCATTGGCTCTTTAGTTTTCCACACCCTCACAGCTTCCAAAACCAGAGCCCCACCACCCAGGCCTGGCCCAGCCCCCTACTTGTTCCAGTGGCTCTTGGAGTTCCTGTAGAGTGCAGGGAACATGATGGGGAGGACTCGGGCGGCATTGTCACTTATCAGGCTCATGATGTACTCATTGTTCCAGTAATAGAGAGCACGCTCTGCCACCTGGTGAGGACAGGAGTAACTCAGTGGGAATATGGCTCCCCTTGCTGAAGACCCTCGTCAAGCTTCTCAGAGGCAGGGGCTGGGATATGCTGGGTCTGGGTCTCACCTGGAAATGGGGGCTGGAGACACACTTGGCAAGCTGACGGAAGAGTGGTTCCATCACTTTGCTGAACTCTGAAGGTTCAATGACATCCAGAATCTCCTCTAGCTCATTCAGGAACATCACTTCCTTGGGGCTGTGGGTCTTGGGCCAGAATTTGAGAAGTCCTACAATTACCTGTGAGAAGATGATGACATGAAGATAAAATTGTCACAAACCTGCCTGGTTCTCCAGGAAGCTTTCCTGCCCTCTCTCCCCAACCCTGGTGGGCACAGTGTGGGTGATTTCAGCTAGCTGCACGTGTTTCTCTGGCTTGGATTGTTTCCTAGGTAGATACAGGTTTTACTTCTCCTTCAGGGAGGAAACCACGTCATCTGCTGGGCCACATCCCTCCTGAGCATTGCTTATGGTGCTGCTGGATAGGTACAGACTGGCAAGTGCTGCTGACAGGAAGGAAGAGGTGGACCCTGCGGCCCAGAAGGGGAATTACCGGCTCAGTGAGGCTGCTCTCCTTCTCCAGGAATTGTACCACACAGTATGCCAGCTGCAAAAGGTTGCGGCAGAAAGGAGGTGAGGTGCAGGGCCCAAGTCTCAGGTCAGCAAGAGAAGCAAGACCCCAGACAGGAAGAGGAACTGTAGGGAGGAATTCTCCCGCCTGCTCCCTCTGCAGCCCCGACCCAGCTGGAATACCTCCCTCCCTCCCTCTGCTGCCAGTCAGGGATCACCAGGAGGAAGGCGGCTCACCTGAGGGTGGTAGACACTGAGGGACTTGACCTTGTGAAGGGGAAGGAGGACACGGATGAGGAACATCTTGTGCTCTTCCTTAAGGGGCAAGGCAAAACCGTTGATGATGCTAGGAGTTAAGAGAAGTTTGTTAGGACCAAAGAGCCAGGCCCAAACTCAGTGCGCCAATACCCCTGACCTATTTCAGGCACATGTACCCCCACCCCACCTCTCACCTGCCCAGGATCTCTAGGAGCTCAGCAATCCCGTTGTGATGTTCTGTCTCATAGATGAACCTGAGGGAAGAAAAAGCTATCTTGACAACCCCTCACGTCCCTCAGTATTCTGCAGAGCTTTCCCCCGCATCCCTTCCCCCGTGCCACTTTAACGGGGCCTTGCTTTGCTCCTAAGCCTGGCTCCTGGCCTCACCTGTAGAAGATGTGGTTGATCTGCCTACGGATATAAGCCCGGAGCCCCAAAAACTTGCCATAGATACGGTGCAAGATGGTCTTAAGGAAGTCCCGCTCTCGAGGGTCCTCACTGTCAAACAGGTCCAGGAGCTGCGCGTAGGCAGGAGAAAAGGTGGCGAGTGAGGCAGGAGCCAGGGAAGGCTCCCAATGTAGGAGCCTCGCCAGGGGAAGCCTGGAGGTTCCCTGGAGGTGGGGGGTGGACAAGTGTCTGGAAAGCACAGTGCTTCTAGTATACTGTTTTTCCCAAGGTTAGGTAAGAGTGTATTTTTGCAACACCACTGGGTAAAGGTAACCATGTTGCTTTTTATTTCCTTCAATTGTGCTGGAAGCTTCTCAAGAGCAGAGGAGGTTTGTTTGTATAGTCCCTTTCTGCCAGACACAGCAGCAAACATATTCATTCAATGCATTCAATTAAATGTACCAAATACATTCAATGTACATATACAAAATACTCAGCAGAGAAAGAGTCCTGGGCCTGGAGTGAGGATGGTAGGGCTAGAGTTCGTGGACTGGAAGGAGGGAGGAAGAGGAGCTTCAGGGACTCACAGCAAGGACAAACTTCTGGTCAATGTACTTCTTGGCTATGTTTGGCTGGAAATCCGGAGACTCAAGGAAACGTAAGAAAAACTCGTACACGAGCTGTGGGGGGAAGAAGCATCCATTCGGGTATTCCCCAAGGACTGGGCGATACCCCTGCTTCGGGTGTCAGGGTGGCTCACGTGCCACAGCCAGGGCCAGCCCGCCGCCTTGCCCCGGTACCTGGAGATGAGGCCATGCAGCTTCCAGGGTGGGCTCGTCTTCCTCTGGGTCAAACTCAGCCCCAGTGGGATTTGAGGAAGGTGGCAGTGTCCGGAAGAGGTTCACTGAAAACTGAGGGAGCATCAGGTGAGAGCACTAGCCGGGCCTCTCCCGAGCCCCTACCCCTGCCCACTCTCCCCTTGCCTTGTGCCCACCATGGTGACAGCCTCTGGGTAAATGGCCTCAGTGACAACATCGCGGCTATGGGTGATGTACTCCACCATTTCATTGAGTCCTGCCCGCTTCACCTCCTTGAATTTGAGGTCACTGAGTGGATCTGACACAAAGTCAAAGAGGACACAGCACTGGCGTAGTTTCTGGATAAACAGCTCTTCCCGCTCCTGGGTTGGAGAATCTGAGGGGTGGGCCACAGTCAGGTCTTCCTCCCCAGTACCTCACTG